GAACTGTCGCTGCGTAACACGAGCGACGTGATCTGGCGCGCCACGAAAATTATTGGCATCTTCCGTTCCATAATGGTTGTCTAGCGCCGCAATAAAGCAATGAGAGCGGAGACGGGGAGAGGAGGAAACGGGCGAGCACAGTCGGGATTTAAAGGGCGTGCGAAGTCGCTTTTACGCGTCGGATGCGAAACCCCGATTCAATTTATATCCTCTGGTCGCGCGTTTCCTGTCTGCGGCGCACACATCTCTCAGGATTGCACCACTTCGTCCACTTCCGCTAGATTCGCCCTCACTCCCTCCACCCTTCCACTCCCCTCTCGCCGTACCACCCTGTAACGCTGGCTTTTCTTCTGCTGTATGAAATACGACGATGATTCCCATCGGCAACGACGAGAGCGTCGCCGGCGATTTTCGACGAGAGAAAGGGGGCAGGGGGGAGGGTGGGCGAGGGCGACGACGCAAATAAATCGCGTTGCAAAATGGACCAGGCGGTGTGTGTTACGGCGGTGCTCGACGTCACGCATCGGCGAGTGTCAAAACACCGTGGAGGAGCCCGCTCCACGGTGCATTAAAGGGAAACGAATTAATGGGCAAACGAGATCGGTGACTTGGACGGCCATTCCCGTAGGAATCGTCGCAACACGCGGCCGAAATAAATTCGCACGTGGAAACGCCTCTCTCCGAGGAGAAGGAAATGAAAACTGTCGACGCGCTTATACAAGAGATATTGTTTCTACATTACATTACGTTCTAATGATCGAGACCGTGAACTATCGAGTCCCGCAAATTGCGAGTAAATTATGACACTGCGCAGCAGGCAGATGGATGCAAACAACGATCGATGAGAGTTAAACGCGCGCGCGAGTGCGGTACTGCATTACGGGAGCGACGTCTTCAAAATAAACCCGTAACTTCGTCGACATCGCCAGTCGATTCTTTCCCGTGCAAGATCGAGCTCTCGGATGCACGGTCAGAGAACTGTACAGAGTTTTATATGTGTGTATGTGTGTGTGTGTGTGTCAAAAAAAAAAGAGAGAGAGAACTATAAAAGTCGAGAGACAAACGGCGGCGGTTATCTGCCGAGGTCGAGAAAAGCAAGGAAAAAAAAGAGGTGGATAAAAAGAAATAGGTAAATTCTGATACGGCGGACATGAAGGAGCGGCAACGACGCGGTGGAGAGAGAGAAAAAGAGAGAGAGAGATAGAGAGAGACGAGAGCGGAGGAGGAGAAGCAGGAGGAGAAGGCCGTAAGAGCCCGGCCCGGAGCCGGAGTAAGAAAGATGGGACGAAAACATCGATTGCAGGGGCTTGTAACACCGCGGTACGAACAGAGGGATCAAGCCGAGCGATAAACCAAGCGGCCTGGAAAATGCCGGATCAACGGTACGATGTTTCAGCAAAAACTGTCTGGAATCGGAACAGCCCCGGATCAAAGAGAGAAGACGAACGTACGTATGAACGAACGAACGAACCAGCCAACCAACCAACCAACCAACCAACGAAGAAGGGAGGAGGGAGAAACGCCAGCTAGCTACGTAGCTCGCTCTCTTCAGGATGGAATCGAGAGCAAGCGACGAGAAATATACAGAGCTCTCTCATAGTCTCTGCCTACTGTTCTCCCTCTCCCGTTCCTTCAGCGCGAACGCTTTTACCGTATTACTATGTATATAACGTGTACATATATACCGTGTATGAATTTTGCGTTATGTGCCGCGTTATAACCGTCGCCCGACAATCGCCCGCGCGAGTCCCGACGGATTTACGAGGTAAGTAATACGAATTAAACTAACGTCCGCCGCCTGTACACACACGTCGCGCCATAAAAAAGGGCCCCTGATGAGATCGTGAACGAGGGTGATTTCCCCGTAATAAAATATGATGAAGTTTCACGGATATATAATGATTGCGTCGGTGCGTGTGTCGTTATCGAGATAAATATTTAACGTTAATTAATTATATTCCGCGGTGATATGCTGTGATTTAATGTTGATCAAGTTACGCATTGGCATTATATGCACAGATGATAATTTTGATGACTGTGTCAATGTAAAAAAAACTGCCTATTACCGTCATATAGAAGAGCAACCCACTCGAGCGATATTGCATTGCAAAATCTCTAACAGTAAATGCATCACTTCTATGATAATATATATGAATAACTTCACGAAATATGTATACATACACTTACACACATAGAAATGAAAGTGGCCATCTAGATACGAAAACGTGAATTTATCTACACACAACATTAAAACGGATAATGCGTTGCGTTACATCTCTATAAGTAACATACCGACTGACGATTAATCGCAAGGAACGGAAAACCTGAGCACAATTTGAATATCAGACTAGGATAAATTTGATCCATGACTTACTACGGTATGATATAGTTGGAAAAAAATACTTGAAAATTTATTTGTGCGATATAAAGTTTATTCACAGAAATAAACTTTGTATTCTACAAATTAATTTAAATATTTTTTCTCAATGTATTCTGTGAATATTAAACTAGAATAATTTAATTGACTTTGATATAACATATTGAATATTAGTAAATATACTGAATATATTAAATATGATATATATTAATATGATATATATTGATATATATATATATATATATATATATATATATATACATATATATATTGATTGAACATATTGTATATTATTACATATTTTAAATATACTAATAAATCACTAAGATAAAAGTTCACTCTGTATTATCCTCGTATGGTATTCCGTAATGTAGGTTGCGTCAGAGTCAAGTTGAGTAACCTAGCCCGACCTGATCATTACGAGAGGGCAATAGTTGCGACTTCCGAGTGAGCAGAACACGACGAACCAAGGTTACACAGATCGACGTGACGATGCAGACCAGCATTACCACTCGTCCACTTGGAACGAGCCGTGCTTTTGTTCGTTTACGGCTCTCGCGGACGTCACGCGCTAGCCAATCAACCGTTCGTTATGTATCCATTATTTCCGGGAAAGCGAAAGGTTGATTGGCTGCTCGATCGCCTCGCGCCGTGCGACACGTGTTGTCGCGTCCTCTGTGGAAAAGCCATTACTAGCGCGAGATCTGTGACTTCCGGTTCGACGGACTCGTCGGTGTTTGTTATGCAGTGCGTCGCATGAGACAGAACATGAAAACGGCGGAGGGAAAAGTGGTGGTGCTGGGGTCGCAAGGTAAGCGCCGATCGTGGATCGCGACGATGACATGAATATAGCTCATCCCGATTGTCGTTATGTAACGCGATAAAAGAATTTCGCGGAAGTTTCAAAACGGCAAGACGCGAACAGCACATACCTCACACGTCCAATTACATCATTCAGAGATCAGTCATCGCATTCTTGATGCGTCTTTCACTAGAGAGGTTAGCTACAACTTTGAGTTCGCGGAAGGATTCAGTGGGAACACGTTAAGGAAGACAACGTGCATATCTCGCGCCAATTCTTATTTCAGTTTGGTTCTTATTTGTAAATAACTCGTTGCTCCTTAAAGGTCGACAATCTGAAGAACGCGAAGGTGAATAACCTCAAATTTTGATAGTAAGCCTTGTGCTTCATTTGATCCACTAATCAACGGACAGCTACAACGCAACGACTTATGTATCGTTGGAATCTCCATTCGCTCTTTGTTTATCAGTACGATTACCGCCACCACTACTACTGCTAGAGATCGGTTGAATGTTGCCCACGAGCTCACGTGTGCATTCCACCGTTTATTTACGACCACTGCGTAGTCAGGTGTTGCAACACCTAGAATATTTACATGTGCCTTACTGCATTGTGTCGACAAAGTTCACTTGGACTCGAATGAAAAATAAAGATTTTGTTTTCTCACGTTCACGAATTAGTGAGATAATTAATCTATGAAAAGCGATTGGAAATAGGAAAATCTATGAAATTTTTTATTGTTTTGAAGCCTGATCGAAGCGTGTCAGTAATTGTAATTGCGCGCATCCGCATCACGAGTCTCGAGGTCAAAATCCGTATGTGACACATTTTTTATCTTTTTCCCTTCCAATTCAACGTATTGATAACAGAACACGCCTTCCAGGGGAATCCAATTGTATACAGTATGACACATGTCTTCCTTAATACAATCATCATTTTGTTTGTCGAATGATAATCGTATCTGATCGTAATTGATATTTACAAAATTGCACTTTTTCATTATTTTAAGCCTGAATACCGATAAGAGAAGAAAACGATTTGAACGTTGATGTATCTTGCGAGATTAAGTGTAAGATCGTAATTGATAAATCTAATCTATCAAATAAGCTGGCTATCAAAATAAGCTGGCTATCAAATGAAGAAGTCACATTTTCCTACAAATCACGTGCCAGATAAACACATTTCTGGCATACTATCTCAATAAAAACAATAAAGGCAACCGATGCCGTGAAAATTTCACCCATATCGCGGTAATATCCTACTGTCGTGAAAATTGCCATTTATTTACCGACGGGAGACGGCAATTAAATGGAAACTAGAATGTAGTAATTAGAAGTCAACGGTTGAAAATATGACATAATAGGTTGTTACTTCTTAAAATATTAACTATTTAAACATATTAGGCTGTGACAATGGCATCACAAAGTATACATTAAATGTTTGCATGCCATGTTTAGCATATCTGTCTGGGATTACTATCAGTACATTAGACGCGAATCACGATATTGTTTTCAGGTGTCGGCAAAACGAGTCTGATCGGACGTTACATGGGTAAGGTATTTAATGGCTATGAGAATCCCACGATAGGGGCGTGTTTCCTCAACTGCAATCTGAACCTCGAAAGCGCCCGGATAAAGCTGCAAGTACGATAACAATGTTTCTTTCCGTGTATTTACATACGAACGTCTGACGCAACGCGACTCGGCACTTTCTGCTTCGTACACGACGGATTAATATATCTGCTACTCAAGAATCCGCCATTAGCCGTTATCTTTTCAATTAACCTCATGACTCCACGGGTCTTCCGCTTTTCGCTTCGATTGTCTTCATTACGCACATCATTATCGCGCTTCACACTTTCGATGATGCAACAAGCTACTTTGCATCTAATCCACCACACCCGTCGATATTCTAGCGCGATGATTATTTCTGTGCGTCTAATTTCTCATTTATATTTTACTAAACTACTATTTACAAATTATTAAACAAATGTGAAGTCAAAAGCATCCTTACGCAACGGTTTTTTGTTACTATATTTAATTTTTCACTCATTTTACTGAATCACTACTTGAAAAATGTGAAATTAAAAGCACCGCTTTTTTTACATGACGTTTTTATTTCTGTCCAATTTCTCGTTTATCAAACTGCTATATTAAACAATGTGAAATGAAATGCATTTTTCTGTGTTTAATTTTTCATTTCTTCGCTAATTGCTTAAAAAACATATGAAATTAAAAGTATCGCTCTTTGTAGGTATGGGACACCGCTGGCCAGGAAAGATTCCGCTCCATGGCGCCGATGTACTACAGAAACGCGAACGCGGCGATGCTCGTGTTCGACCTCACGGAATACAGTACATTCTCGGCGATCAAGAGCTGGGTGACGGAATTGCAACGGAACGTGGAGGAAGCCATGGTGCTGGTGGTGATCGGCAATAAGTCCGACTTGGTGCAACAACGGCAGGTGAACGACGAGGAGGGTCGCGAGTACGCGACGAAAATCGGCGCGACCTACCACGAGACCTCGGTGCTGCACAACGAGGGTATCGAGGCGGTGTTCTTAGCGATCGGTGTCGGCCTCCTGAAATTGCAATCGGGCAATCAAGACATGGAGACCTCCCTGAGAATCGGCGAGTCCTCGAGCAGCTCCTGCATGCGCAGCAACGGCATGCCACCCACACCCTCCATCGAGGAGAGTCCGCAGAACATGAGTATCGCGCATGGCATACACGAGAGACCGTTTACCTGCTGTTAGTCCCGAGACTCGCAGAAAGTTCGCGAGAAAAGGGGAAAGAAGGTCGTACCTTGCTCGAAAAGTTCGCGCCGACGCATGAACGTGGTGCGCTGATCGCGAAGGAAAAGTCTCGAACATGATCTCGCGGTTCTTGTTTTCTCTCCCTTTCTCAATGGTGCATCTCGTCGGTGATGCGAGTGAATTGCGGTCTCGCGCTATCGAAGCTATGAGATACTTAGAGCGTACAAAAAGCGAGACGAACGGCGACCACGTCTTCCAGGTTCAATTTCGGGGTTCTATATAGCTTAACTGGAACTTCATAGATCACTACGGTACTCTCGCGTCGACTTACTGCTGGCGTTAAATCGACGATATTTCATCGCCTTTCAACAGCACGACAATGTTGGCTAAATGGAGAAACGGTTACGTTTAACTAATGTTTATTTAGTAACGCGTAGCTTAAGAACCAAGTGGAAGCAAAGCGATTTGGAAGTTTTATCGCATAGAGTAAGACGTAAGCAGCAAGTAAATTAGTAATATATTCTTGTAATAATCGACTGTGGCTAACCAATTTGCTTACTGCTCATACTTACTGTCTACTGCCAACTCCATTGTTAATGGCCCTTTAGGGCTGTGGCACCCAGAAAAACTTAAGTAATAAGACGTAAGCAGTAAGCAAATTGACCAATCACAGTCGTTGATTCTTGAACCGTAAGAAAATCAGCTACTGTGATTGGTCAATTTGCTTACTGCTTAAGTTTTTCTGTGTGCCACGGCCCTTATCTTACACTTATCTCCGTGTGCGTGCTAGTTTACACATAGAAACACTTAACGCGTCGTATTGAATGCGCAAGCGATTACGGAGTTATGCCGAGCTTCAAATCACAAAGAACGGCCTTGCGTTGCGTCGCAAGCTCAATCGTATGTGCAATTTTAGAAAGTGGTGGTGAATTTTCCTGCTGAGATAAATTTCGAATTACGCTGATCATATTTCACGAGTCTCGATCGCCGAAATACGAGAGTGCGCCCGTCGACTTGTCGGCAAAGCGTGGAAGAACTAGAAAATTACTACACTCGTGAATTATACAGCTAGTTATTATAATTGATATCGCGATTACTATGTTATTTATTGCGAAACCAGTATTCTCCGCATCGGTACGCAAATTAGTTATAGACGGAGTATAGAATAGACATTAACGGTTTTCTTTTTCTTTTCACAAAGATTGCTGCCAATTGAGTCCGAGCAATTTCTTTTCTACGCAAACAACGAATTACTATTTTTCTTCTATGTACTCTCTTGTTAAGAATATTTTCGGCTTCCCGCTATTTTTATTTTTTTAACGCGTTGTTATTGTGATACGCACGCTTCACGCGCTTCGGCGATCACGAGTATACTAGACAGAATTTTATACAAGCATAATTTTTATATAAGTATAACATAATTTACAAGAAGATATATTTGTAATAAAAAATTTACCAACGATGTGTTTCCACTTTTGGATATAAAAAAACCATCTTTCATCTTTCCTTTCGCACTCGCGTCCCGATCAGACGCAAATCTAGGTATACGAAATATTCGCCCGAATATCTCTGTACCGTATCTTGCTAGAGACGCAACGAGTTGCGACGAGTATCGGTGATTCGAGATCCAAAAAGGCTGCGCCTCCTCGGGAAATCTGTTTGCTCGCCGCGCCACGACAGAGAGCGATAATCACACAATGAGTCATTCTCACTCCAGGCCGGGGCCTCGCGGAGCGTGACGTCCCAGCTTTGTCTACGTGTAACTCATCCCATTTTCATTATGTAAGCGCCCGTTTACTATGTATCTAGGCCTATTAAGACTCCGCGGCGTCTTCGAAACCGACGTGTACTGGAGAGACTTGCGCTCGACTCAGGGTCGCCCGTACGTGCATGCGTGCGTACGTACGCGAGAATCAAAGAACCCGAAACTCGGTTTTTCACCGGCACAATTCGAATCTCACGACTCAGGGGCGGGGAAATCCGCATGGTGAAAAATCTAACACAAGGAGGTCGGCGATTCAAGAAACGCGCAAAATTTCATGAGAAAACAGTCGAGCTTGACCAAGTGAGAAAAATTTATGGTAATAATTATCCAACCTGTGTTATAATTACTACATTTAGTAAAATAGTATCAACTAAATATAAGAGGTAAATATTGCTATATGAAAGTTAATGTTACTAACAATTTTGTAATTGTTACCAAACATTGGTAACATTTACCATTATTGGTTACTATTTACCAAATGGTATGGTAAAACGCATTTGGTAAGTATTACCAAACTTTTTTTTTTTCGTGTGCGACTGCACTGAGGAAAATTAAACTTTATTTGTATAAATGAAGTTTATCTCTGTGAAACAAAATTGATTTCTGCGGATATATAAACTAAGTATCTCACAAGTGAATTTTCAAGTATTTCTTTTTCTCAGCATGAGAGATTATATCGCGAAGAGAATCGCGTTAAGCACTGCGAATAGTTCGTATATAGCGGCTCTAACACAGCAGCAAATCCATTCGATCACCGTTGCCTCGTTCGCAGCAGCGTTAAGCTAAATCCGGATCTGACGTCAGAGCCGATGAAGAAGATTCGGAGTCGCGAATACCATTATAATACTATTATCGAGCCGAGCGAGTAGATGCAATTAGGTAGTTGGTGCTTTCTGAAACGCGTAGCCGTAAGTGTAACCTTGAAACGTCCGCCCGTAATCGCGCAAAGACGTAATTACGCGCGGCTCTCGCGTGAGTAAAAGCACGCTTCGGCGATTAGTTCGAAAGCAATGCGCGGCGCCGCCGTTTTCTAATTGCGGCAGGATCGATTAGCATGCCGCGAGAGCGTGATGGAGGCGCGTTTTATCGCCGTTTAAGGACAATAGGCCATAAAGCGGTATCCGAGATTGGCTAACTGCGAACCTGCTGCCGCCGCCGCCAGTTTTAACTGCTCATTCGGCTTTTACGCAAACCAAACGATGGCTTTACACGCCCTCTTCGCCCACGACACGCCCGCCACGCGAGAAAATTGTCTCGCCGACACGCACGAGACCACTCGGGGAAGCTTCGAGGAAGCAGCTTCTCGTCTCGCCGAGCCGTTGCGACAGACAGGTGCAGCGTTTTCACTTTCTTCTCGTTGACGATAACACCGCGCGAAAGAGTCGGAGCTATCCGGCAAACATGACAACGAATGCACTCACTTTCCGGAAGGACGTGATTTACAGTGACAATAGAGTCGTTAGAAAAGAACCGATGACATAAAAGCAACTTTAAAGCCCGTATTAATAGTTATCACTTGAAATTCGTCTCTCAAACAAAATACTCTGATTTCAATTCAGAGTTAGACGAGAATTTTTCAATTGAATCGCGATTATATACATATACACAAGTGCCAGTATTGATATCAGATCTCAAATACACAAAATTCTTTCTAGAATAAAAAACTCATGTGTGAATTTCTATTGTTAAGGGGCTATCTACAATAAGATTGGCAGTAGATAGTAAGACGTAAACGGTAAACAAATTGGCCAACCACGAGAATAATCGACCGTGGTCGGTCAATTTGCTTACTGTTTATGTCTTGCTGCCAATCCCATTATAGATGGGCCCTTTAGATCTTCGAATCTTCCCTTTGTATTATCAAGTAGTAAGTACTCGAGCAGTAGTTGTCGGAGAAGCGTTCGACAGAGCGACTTCCATGATCGGCAAGTACACGCGCGTATCCCGATCGGAGAGGTAAGGCACCGTGACGAGCCTCCGACTGGATTCTTACGATACCGCGGGCGATTTACGCGAGCGAGCGCTGTGCAGGAGCACAGACGCGGCTCGATTTCGCAACTCGCGAGCGTGCGCCGCGGTGCGTTAATTAAATACAGGCGCGAAACCAAGGGAGCGCAGGAAGAAAAGAGGAGAGGAGAGATTCGCGTGCGCTCGCGTCCTGCGAGGCGAGGCGAGCCGAGCACGAGCTCCTTTGAGCGTGCAAGCGTCACATGAGACCGAGTAGGAGAAGATACGGACGTAGGGAGCAGCAGAAGAGGAAGAAAAGTAGCGGTGGCCGACCGCGGGAGGAAGCAGAGAAGAGAGAGACCAGCATAACGCCGGCCTCACTGCCTCCTGTGTATAAGACAATGATACAGTTACACGATACTCTCAGTAGTGAACCAATCGTAAAAGGCACGACGCTTCTTCTTCTTCTTCTACATCTTCTTCCTCCTCGCTCGCGAAGGAATACGCGAAAGTATAATGAACCGCGGCCAGGAACGACGCCAATTAGGCGCGGCCCGTTAATTAAAGGAGCGAATACTCGTTAGATATTGCCGGAAGAAGCCGCCAGGAGACCGATCGTCGCCGATCGACACGATGTTCACTCCGCCGCGGCGTATCGATCGAGCCGGTGATCGTCGTGATTTACGGTAGTGCCAAGAGTCATCGCGGATCTCACCCTCGCTCTCTCTATCTCTGTCTCGCACAGTGATTAATCGAGCTATTCTAACAATTATCCAGCCAACAACGAGGATTATTCCGACGATTATACGACGCGCACGAGACTGAGTTCTTAGAGTCTCTTCTCCTGTATTGGAAGCACGGCTTTTAACGTTGTCGGGAAATCGTTGACAATTACCTTCGCAATTACGGCAATCGCTAAACGCGCGCGAACGTATCTTCCACTGGACGGGATGCTTTTTCAGGGACGTCTCGTGTGAATGAACCGTGATTCATAGATCGCGCATTGAATGGGACGCCTGATAACGACTGGAAAGTAATAACTAAAGCGTTCGCATGCATTAACGACGGGTTGGAGAACGAGTGAAAAGTAATTGAGACATAAATATACGTCGTATCGCGTTCGTTGTTCGGGGATAAATCGGCCGGTGATTAACGCGAGTGCGATGAAAGTGACTTTTGTGGAACAGCTATGAGAAAACAGAAAACATCGTGCGCCATGTAAAGTGACGTGCGAAGTATTGTATTTTTTTTTTCTTTCTTGCGGCACGAATCTGTCAACGGCAATGGAGCGTCAACGAGTGTTTCTCGTTTTTGTTGTCTGCTTCCTAAGATCCTGCCGAGTGTCGCACTCGATCGGTCTGACGTTTGACAATCAGCTTGTGATCGTCGCGAATGGTAAGTGACGATGGTCGATCGTCGAAATGTCTGAACGCGACGATTAACGGTAGGACGATGATGATAATGTGACGAGGTCTACACGTAATGATTGCACGCAGATTGCTATACGAGAGTGGCCATCGGGTCCAAACTACCCGACATGGACGTCTTCTCCAGCGTCGCGGTAACTAGCATTTCGGAGTGCGAAGACGAATGCTCCAAGAGAAGAAATGCCTGCAACGCGTTCGCTTTCGGGTACGCTGTCGCGAAAGAGGCGACAGAATTCTATCCACAAACGCGAAATAAGGGAGAAACTATCCTAAATAAACAAAACAGAAATAAAAAAATAAAATATATAAATAGGAATAAAAGAAATTAAGAATATATATAAAGTATGAAAAGTTAAAGTAACTATACTGAGAGAAAAAAATATGTAAAAAATAAGATATTTATATTCAATGGATACTCTCTAATAACATTTTTATTTAAATTAAATTTTTTTTAATAGAACAAACAATTGTTTTTGTGTGAAATGACTTTAAAAAATATTTTCTTAAAATCATTTTTAAAGTATGTTTTTTTATTTGGGAAATATTAGATAGATTAAAAAGAAGAATTTTAAAAAAATCTTGGAAGGAAAAAGAACAGGAATAATTTTGTAAACCAAGTCCCTTCTTGGCATGTAAGCTGAAGTAATAAATATACTACTATTTGCAAAAAAGAAATTTATATTAATACAAGTGAATATTAGTATTCACCACGCAAATAAATAGGTTTTTATTTCTTGGATATTTTTTTCTCTTAGTCGTTAGGATGTCATATATTTTACAACAATATGATAGCTAATTGATCGTCAAAATATCATCATTATGTTGACATATGTAGGATCGGCATCAAAGGTAACGGGACATGTGCGCTGAGCGCGAAAATGCCGAAACTCGAAGAGCTGGAGTCCCATGCCGATTACGATGTCTACCTGAGAAGTCAACGTTCGCCGAATTGCGAGCCAGATCGGCTCTACAAAATGGGAAACGGCGGACAGGAAAGAAGAAACGAGACGAGACCGACCACGCGATTCGGCAGCGGCCTCTTAGGCCCGACAATGCCAAGTATCCTGTCATCTCCCAGGTACGATCATCCGATTATTAATTTCAGACGGAGAACAATCCCACAATTAGCATCTTCATTGTTTACCTACCTCAACCGCGAGATGGATATTTCTGATAGAAGAATAACGTATCTTCATTAACAGACATATCGTATCGTACATAAGCGTCGTTAGAATATAGAAAATGTCGTTTGAAATGAATAATTCACTCGAGTCATCGTGTAAGTATCGTGACTGAAGTTCAGACTTTCGATCGCCCTACCCATTTTAAAATATATCTAACAAATGTAACAATTGCTACGATATATGAGACTCTCGGAAGCTGAACTTCGTTCTCTATAAATTTCTGAATTCTAGAGTGCTTAACACTCTCCAGGGATCTTATTCTTGAAATAGTTGCGTATACGTAACTTTTACTGCGCAAGTTTAATCATACTATAAAATAGCTGCGCTAATAGCTGCGCAATGTTTACGTATACGCAAAAATTTCAAGAATATGGGTCCAGAATTAAGAAACTTGCAGAATGCGGAGTTCATCAGTTTGGCTTTCGAGAAGCTCGTGTGTGATCTCGTGGAATTTTTTGCATGCGATTTCACGTCCGAAGGATTACGGGAAGCACGATGCCTAACATCGCCAATGATCCCTCGTACCAGCAAGGATACACACCGTCTTTCGACGATGAGCGCCGGATCGCCGACATACTTCGAAACAAAAGTCCGAGGCCGCTCAGCGGCAACAGTCCCTTTGGCACCAAGATCGAGAAAATCGACAGCTATAACGACCTGTATTCGAACCGGAAGTCCGTCTTTGGCCAAAGGATCCACTACGATCCGAATGACGGTCGCTCGGATTTTGGTGGGCCGTTCTTCCGAAATCCTTTCGCGGATGTGAATCGACTGAATCTCGCGTCTACCTTCGACAGTGATCTTCACTCCTACAAGGCTCTCACAGTTCACAACGGGCCTTTCGACGTTTTCTCACGGCCCATTTTAATCCACGACATAGCCGCGAAAAATAAATCGCCCGCAGACTTCGGATTCTCCGGTGATTCCGTCAAGTATCGAGACACAGTCGCGAATCATCAGCTCCATCAACATCGGGATCACGGATTCCTCGACAACGCATACAAAAGTCATGGGATCGTCGCGAGGCCGAAGCAGAACGAATTGCTCGCAGGAAATCGCGATATCGGGAAAGTGCCTTCCCGGCCGATCATCGGCAACTCCTACGGTTTCGAGAACAATGGCGCGAAGTTATCATACGGAGGATTCAAGGACACTGCCACGATCTGGAGTCCAGGATCATCGCCAGGTGCGTTTCGCGACTTTGGCGCGAGGATCATCGCGAAGTCGAAATGTGAGTGTCGATTCGATGTGTTAATTTCTTAACTAAGAGACCAGAGCGTCACTCTCGGATTGCGCGCGTATAACACGTGGACTCTCGTTGCAACTCCAACACCTCGGGAAGCGGAAACGCGAGTCTCCGTCTTTAACGAGGCGTTACACGAAAGACCGGAGGCACAAATCTTCGGTCAATTGTCGCTCGGCTGCCACTTCGCGTACATAACGCGCACGTGAGGCGGCGCAACCTCAATTTTTCTACACGACAATAATCGTACGATCGTACTGTATACGTGCCCGCGAGCGCGCATTCCCAACAACTTAATTATCGTCTTCTTACGTAAAACGTAACACTGTTCCGTTACATTAATCCCTTCTCCTTTCCAGATTCTTCGCGCCTCAAAACATTAATATAATCGCATGATGCTCCATCAGAGATTATCGCGCCTGGTTTTTCTCATCATTCTCACACTACTCTGCGCGCGCGCGCGCACGCGCTTTCGAGGAATTAATTATACCGTCAATTCAGATAACATTCCATCGCGTTATATTTACTCGTATATAGTATAAAAAGTAACATAGCTACCTATGTATAGCATAAAATCGCCTCGACCAATAAGCATATTTTAACAGATTAACCTTTAGATTGCCAGGAAAGCCACTTTTATGGCTCTGCATAAACCTCAAAATTCTGCGCCATGTGTGTTACTTATATAGACAAATTTTTGAGAAAAGAGATCCTTTTTTAACGTAAAAATGCCGGCAACCTAAAGTCCATCACACATGAAATGATATAGCTGTATATGCAGAGCATAAAATCGTATGAATTAATGAGCATCGAGTATTAAGTCGCTACATCGATGTTTGATCAATACTCGATGCTCATTGGTCCATACGGTTTTATGCTATACATATGCAATTATGTCATTTCATGGGCCTTAAGGTTAATATACTTTATCGTAGATGCTCATTGGTTGGTCTTATGCTATGCATATGCAATTGTGTCATTTTGTGTGCGATGGCCTTTTTTGGAAAGCGGCCACGACTGTAACGTTACAATGATGTTTTAGCTATCGTCCACATGCTAACACATTGTTGTTCAAAATATATATTCAATGGATTAAATCCCTTGTCAATTAAGTATATATAATTTGAATGATATTCACAAAGAGAAAAACTGCCGTACAAATTTGTTATCCTGCGCGATCACTGACTCAGCTTGTTCACCGCGGTCAAGCGCTGGTCAGCGTTTATCGAGCCGCGTTCATCTGCGAATCGACTATTGACAAATGGCAACGGCATTGACACGGATTTTAAACCGTATGCGAATTAGCTCGCTGCATCCGTCCACTTCCGGCGTAATGACTCTTATCGCGTAGCTCTCTCGTGCATCTGCCTGTGACTTCAACGTGATCGAGTAACTCGCGGTCTTTCTCGAGTTTTTAGACGACACAAAGCAGTAAATAATCATAGAGAAGTACTTATTGTTTAAATAATTAAGCAAAAGAGAGAAAAGGCCCGAAATCCTGCTAAAATCGACGAGATCTTTTTTGCGTATAATTTGTCGTCCGAGCAACGACCGGTTGAAGGAAACTCGATGACTTTAGCGATTGTGCCACAGCAGGACGAGAATGACCGTTGCATAAGGGAGAAAAATAAATGTCGAGACGTTACAGGACGCACGGCTTCCGCTTCGCGTGATCCACGGACATGAGACGCTTTTACTTTCGTCAGTTAGCAGTCCCTTATTCTTCTGCTTGCGCTTCGAATTAATTGCGCGCGACCTATCCATTGTGTCGACGAGGAATTGTCGCAATCGATTGGCCACGCACCGGCTTGCAACACTGATTTACCGAATCCTTATCTCCGGATTCGATTTCCGCGAACGACCTCGAAACTAAGGTACGAAGAATCGCGTGAGGATCACGTAATAGAATCGAGTGCCGAGTCTCGAATCGCGGAAGTGTGATTTCGCTGAAGTTATGGTGCGACAACGAGAGCTTAGCTGGCTGAAATAATTGAGGTAATTGTGACCCTGACGAATCTTGAAGGACGTGCGACGGCACCTCCCTTCTAAAGCGTGATGTCACTACTTTGTCGCTCCTTGGCACAAAATTCTTTTAACGACGGAAAAATGCAAATGGTTCCGGCGGCTGGTCAGCCAGAGAACAAATCTTACAGCGAATTATTCTAATCTTTCGTGCGTATTTTAACTAAAAGGAAGGAAGATATATTTTCCCCCTTTCTTTTGGTTAAAAGGAGAGAGAATCAACGAAAAGAAACATGGAAAGATTCGAACAGAGTGTATGAAAGTGGGAAATATCAAATTCATTCTTCAGTCTTAAGTGAAAGTATTCATTCGACTTTTAGAATAGAAGATTCACTCTGCACGAGTGAAAAATTATTCGAGTTCTTGTAACTTACTCTTATGACTTGTAGTCACTCCACTTTTTCGAAATGTTACTCCAAGAAATTTAGAAAGTAAATTTCAATAATAATTTGAATAAAGAAAGTTCCTCTATATTCCTACAAATACACTCAGTTGCTGAAAATATATTCTGCAAAAGACAAAAATACCAATTCTGGTTGTTTTGATCTTTACATACGAATATATCAACTTTTAACACATATATAAATTCAGTATGTGCATATGTATTTTGTATTAAAGTTTAAATAACTGTATTTAAAAACCGAAACAATAGGAATGTCCAAGATTAGGCACGTGACCAAGAATTGGTACTCTTACCTCAATCGATTATGCACATCTGTGCCAAAGAACAACGCTTGTCGGGAGAATGAAGCGCTCGCGTGTCCGTGAGCAAGCAAAAATTATAGTAAGTGGAATCATTAATGATCATGTAACGCTGAAACCCCTCCCCCGACGTGTGAGCAGTTCCTCCCACTATTCCCGCGGAAACGTTCACTTTTCTATAAAACGATGCGAGCCCGTAATTTCTCCGTTACTTTTTGCGCGATTTTCAGTTTGCGCCATTTTTCGCGTGAACGTGTCGGAGCGCGAACCGCGACGGCGTGACTCGTTGACGCGAACATTCCTTCCTTCCCCGGGGCCACGAAAATGGCCATGCCTCCCCGCGATTCACGGCGTGTTATCGTGAGAATGAATCGCGGCTCGAAGGAAAACTCGAAACGTTGAAGAATCGTCGAAGCCTCGAACGCGCGACCACGTCGTTCCTATCTCGGGCGCGAGAGCTCGACCGGTGCTACAACGTGCATCCCGCGAAACAATTTGTAATCGAACGAACACGGGGATCATGTCGGCACGACGACGACGGCTGTGGACCTTTGTGTTGGCAGTGATTGTCCAGCGAGCCGCCTCGGACTCGATTATTATAGTGGAAGACGAGTGCTCGCGTAAGTTTCGCGAGGGGGGAGACAATAATATTGACAGAAGGTGCAAATTGAAAATTCGTTTTGCAGCGTGCTACAGGAGGCTGCTGTCCGGCAAAAAGAGTCTGGAGCTGCACGTCAGACGCGCCATCGAGTGCGAGCGGATCGAGGACTGCCATCGCGCTTGCGACTATGAGAAGCTCTTCATTTGCGAGGGTTTCAATTACAGGTAGATGTTACTTTCACGAAACTTTAGGCAGAAGTTTAGAAACGCGAAAATTGCGATTTCTTACATTATTACGTCGCGTTGAAAGCAAAAAAGGAAAACGAAATTTTTAGCGTTGCAAGAGTAATTCCGTCAAAGATGTAAGACAAAATTCTCGTCAAATCCCCCAGCAAGATAACCAAAAACGTAATCTGCGTAACAGTTAACGACGATTATTCACGCTTGGAGTCGTTCGGCGATTTAACGCATTTCCGTACACACGCGTATGTATCTAGGGTATGTATCATCAAATGCACGCGCAAAATACAATACGTACGTATGCATGACCCAGCGCCGATTGCGATTGCATCACGGACAATTTGAACACGGCGTAATCTGTGACACGCTTCTGCGTCGAGAGACGATCACGCACACGTGTCGGAAAAGTAACTGCTACTTTCCGATTAGCGTACCCCGCGAACGAATTGTTATAATCGATAATAATTCGTCGATCGTCGAGCTTGAGATTGATTGACGGAACGTGCGAATTTCTCTGTACGATGAATTTTCGCGTGTCAATCGGTAAAATTATGCACGGTTTTGCACGAAAAGACGCATCGGCCATGGAGAGAGAGGGATGTGCGAGATGACATCGGTACCGTACTCTCGTATGGATCCCCATCGAGACTTCGTGTCAGATCCTCAATGCGACTATTACGAGAAGGACCCGAATTGCGTGGCGAACGCGGCTGGAACGCGACCACCTTGGTGGAATCAACCGTCTAGACCTACGCAGACCTATGGTGTACCTTCCAGCGGAAGACCGGAAACGAGGTACGGCAATTAAACATTTGCCTATCAATAATCGAATCGCTTTCGCTTTATATCACATAGTGTCATCAATAATGAGTATTAATGACACTAAGAAAAAAATGTTTGGTATTTGCAATCAAATATTACTATATAGATTATGTGAAAAAATAATTTTTATATAAAGGCTCCCTCGCATTGTCTATCTCTTTTTAATGACGTCAGAAGCGGAAAAATGCATGTTAAAAATTGTTGCGAAATACATTGAAACAAAAATATATATCCATAAAGTAACACTTGCGATCGATTAAACAAATTTGTAAGATATTCCGTGCACTCTTCTTTTGCTCTAACAATCAATAGTTTATTGTAAATTAATCTGAATAGAAATAGAAGAATAGGTTAAGAAAATGAATTTTATGTCACGTTAATTTACGACAAATTATTGATGCTACGGAAATTAAGCTACGGAATATCTTACAAATTTGTTTAATCGATTGCAAGTGTTACTTTATGGATGTATATTTTTATTTTAACGTATTTCGCAAGAATTTTTAGCATGTATTTTCTCGCTTCTGACGTCATTAAAAAAAGACAGACAATGCGAGGGACCAGGAGCCTTAAATTCCACTATAATATTAGTGATGTGCATGTTAATACTATACTATTTTATTACAAAAAATATGGTCGAGACAAAAAAACTTTTTAGTTAGATCTACTATTTTTTCTCTCAGTAGACGACTAGACCTTGCGACGTATAATTAGTAATAATAATTATCACGTTACATTTTTCAAAGTCGATCGATATAAGTAATCTTTATTAGAAATAATCGACGGTAAATTAATTTTCACAGAAATTGGTTAATCAACAACAACGCGAAGAATGTTCGTTTCACGACTGCAATTTACGCAAGTTTATGATTGCGCGATTATTGAAGCGTAAAGCTAAATATGTTTATTTATCGTCCTTGATTCTAATGCGCGTGAAAATTTAACGCAAGGCCCTACACGCCCGATCGACGTCCTCTGAACGAAGTGCCACGACCTTTGGATTACGATCGACGTCCCCTGAAGGAGATCCCGCGACCCTTGGATTTCGATCGACGGCCTACGAACGAGATCCCGCGGCCTTTGAATTATCCTCATCACAGACACGAGGAGCACGATCGGCGACCGCCAGTAATCTACGGAGAACCTCATCGCGTTCTCTACGACGACACATTTGGTCAAAAGGGTTATACCGACGGCCAAGACTCGATACGAGGCGGATACCCGGTAGCGAGACCGGAAGATCGATTTGACTACAGCGGCCGGTTTCCACCTAGACGACCCAGTGCCGACGATTTCTACGACAGGAACTGGTCGCGGTACCCGAAATATCCGGACAGAAGAATCGATCACGGACCCACCCACGACATAGGTAAAGTTTGCTGATTATTTTCACACGTTTAAATTGTCCCACACGAAAAAGCACGTAAAAATACAGCAAATATAAATTATTTGTATACTCGAAAAAGATATCGAAAAAATATTTATTGGGAAGTACATCTAAATTCTTTTATTTAAATGTGGAATAAACAATTGCTTTCATGAGAAACAATGATTTTAAATGTTGAATAAATATTTCTTATTTTTAGGTATTTTCTCTCTCAATATACAGAGAGAACGATTTGATTGAATAAAATAAACACTTTTTTGGAATAGTCCAAACAAATTTTTTGATTAATCGAACAAAATTTTGTTTGATGCAATAAAAATATTTATTTGCGGCTTAGTTCCAAAGAAATAGTTTTGTTGTGTCAACCAAATAATTTGTTTGGACTATTCCAAAGAAACATTTATTTGATTCAATAAATCGTTCTGTGTATGTGTTATAAATATGTAAAAAAAAAAACACACGATTTAATCGCGTTATCGTTTACGTGTCGTTCGTCACGTTGCAATGTAGGTACAAACGAGATCGGTCCCTATCTGCCTGAGCATCGAAAGGACCCGAGTCGCGACTGGAGTTCTTACGGTGCCGTTTACGGCGGTTCCTACGGCTACGACACGAATTACGTAGGCGGCAAGTTCGACATACCGAAGTACTACCCGAAACCACGGCCTAAATCACCGCAACCCTACGATAGCGAGCACTTCTACGGCGAGTTTTACAATTACGGCGGTGCATTCGGATACGGCGACAGTTACATACCGGCCGATCAGGATTCGCTCTATGGCGGTGTCGGAAAGACGGACGAATGCTCCGTCAGAGCCGGCGCGGGATTCAGACTCGGCAGAGGAGTCGTTCGTAAAACCTACCTAACGGCGAATCTAGACCAATGCGAGAGCCTGTGCGTTAATGAGAAAAGCTACATCTGCATGAGCTTCAGTTACAGGTATATGCTAATTATCCTTAATGTGTGTGTAAGTATATTTGTGAAAAAATAATTCGACTGTACGACGTAATTTAATATTGACGGACAGGTACAATGTAGCACCTACGGATCCCACGGACAATTGCCTCCTCAGTGACGTCTCGTACAAAGATTTAAATTTCTACACCGACCTCGAACCGGACCGCGACTACGACATTTACGCTATGATCGCCAATTCGAGAACTTGCGGCACGAAGAGAGGACAGAGTCAACATCCTCCGGATGGTATAATTATATTATGGTCGGCATAATTGTTCAAATGAAACGATTTCGCTTTCAATCTGCTTTAATTCGAATGTAATTTCATCAAAAAAGAAAAAGAAAAAAAGATCCAAAAGTATTTCTTATCCGTTCCCCAAAATTTTACTTGCAAGGTAAAAAGGTAACTTGCAGCGAACGATCTAACGCATATTTTGTCGGCCCGAGCGTTGCACCACTGCCCTGATTACGTTGCCATACGTTTTACGTTCCGCTTTGTGTTTCTGGTAACAACTAAACTCGCGAGGGGAAACTATGGAAAAGAGGTAGAAAAAAAAGGAAACGAGAACAGTGTCTTTCTCGATTTTACCCGATATTATTCGCAAAAGTCACGAGGAGTTTTGTACAACTTTTCTAGAGTGTTTTTGGAGGGTCAGAAGCGGATTCGGAATGCCGGACGATGTCGTTAGAAAATCGATAATAGTTGACAGTCTAGGAGAGTGTGAAGTAGAGTGCTCAGTAGCACAAGATTTTACATGCAGGAGCTTTGCGTTCAAGTAAGTATCGCGTTGTTCAATAATGCAAAGCATACAGTAAAATATAATAATGCGGCATTCAAGTAGCATGTTATTCTGCATATCTTAATACAGAATATATTCAACATTATACACATGCAGATAATGCAGATACATATAATAATTATAATTTTATCTCCGATGAACTAGAGGCGTCGCGTAAAAATATACGATCAGCCTTACGTCTAGTTCCGCGCGTTTACTTGGCGCGTGACGTGTTTTTCTTATCGTATTAAATATATAGAAAACATATATAATAATAGTAAAATCATGCAACATTCTCAATATACTTTTAAATGTTATCAGCAAAATAATATGTGTGCTAAGATCTGTTCTTTTTAACTGAACTGTCTGAACTAGTGCACAATAATGCAATAAGTTAGAGTGAGACAAATATTTTTTGTTTCACTGTGATTTATTGTACAATAGTTCAGGCAATTTAGCTAAAAAGAACAGACCTATACTCTGCATATTGTGATACGTTTCAGATACGGACTGGATCAAGGACGACGAGACAGCCTGACGAATTGCTACTTGAGCGACTGGCAGTCGCAGGATATTAATCCTAGCAATATGCCGGATATGGACGGCGCAGAATTATATGAAAGAGGCAGTTTCGGCAGGGGATGTCATCCTTACTCTGTCCCATTTTTTAATACGGGGCGATTTAGTGGCAAGCAGCAATCACATGAAGACGAAAGTACATGCAATAAATATTAAGCTACATATGGACATATTCATCGGAAATATTTTATATAGCACTATATTAGAATCAATATTTTTTTAAAAATAATTTTAGTATCATTATTTCATATAGTCGTGGACGTAATTCCATAATTATTAATTTTCATTGGTAACATTTTATTGCAGTATGCTATTCTGGGTATGATAAACCCTGCAAATTGACACCCTACGCCGTGCTCTTGGCAACGTATGTAAACTCCGAGCAGAATTGTCGGCAAAAATGCTCGAGGATGAGAGAAAGCGATTCTATTCCTTGTTTATCTTACAGCTACAAGTGAGTATACTCTCATAAGGAGAGAAATTTGAATACTATCTTGAATTTTACTATATTTTAGATCAATGTAATGAAAATGCGTACACAATTAACGTTAGTTGTAATTTGTAATTGCATGAATTCAATTTACTATACTGAGAGAAAAATGTTTGGTATTTATAACTATAATCACAGAGAAATAATTACTATAAATTATGGTCAAGACAACCATTCTTTAGTTAATTGCACTATAATTTTAGTGATAGTAACCTTACATGCATGTCACTACTATTATCTTCGTGTTGGAACTAAAAAATATAGTTAGCACCAAATTGAACCCAACTATATTTTTTGGTTGTTCCAACACGAAGATAGTAATAGTAACATGCATATAAAGTTACTATCACTAAAATTATAGTGCAATTGACTAAAAAATGGTTGTCTTGGTCATAATTTATAGTAATTATTTCTTTATATGTTTATAATTACAAATACCAAACATTTTTCTCTCAGTATATTAAATGAAATGAAAATAATAAAATGACATTTTGATAATTAACTTGAAGATTTCGAATTTATATCAGTGATAACTTTTACTTTCTCGAGATATGTGAATAATATAGCGTTAACTTCCTTCGGTCTGCAGGCTTACCACTCATGGTACAGAAGAAAATTGTCTACTTAGTGATGTACCAATAAGAGACTTACGGCCTGGTTTGGATTACATCTACGACGACAATCACGTTATGTACGCCTGGAAGGACCTTGACCCTCAGTGTGTGGTCACCGGCTACTCTGTTGACGATGATCATGTGTTTGGCGGTCCAGGTCCAATGAGGCCGCTTCTTCCAGGTCCATTGCAACCTAACTATCGCCCCTCAGACGCCGATTATCCGAGCTCGATGCCCGACGATACTTATCCTGAACCAAGACCTTTCTTCACGATACCGAAACCGAGCGGTCATCATCACGGCACGAGACCATATGATCTCGATAGGCCCGACCCGATCAAACCGTATCGTCCCGGACACGGCACTTATGGTGACAAATTTGGATACGGTATTCGTCCCGGACAAAACACTTACGGTGACAAATTTGGATACGGTATTCGTCCCGGTGGAGTCAGTTATGGATCTTTCTATCGTGAGTCGACTTTACGATCATAATTATTATTAATTATTTTATGCTACAAGATTTTAAAACAATCGATATTATTAACGAAATAATAATTTCCGTGAGGTTTATTAGACTTTAGATTTATTAATTTTTTTATTTCACTCTAGCTGATGAACATTCAACTTTCCGTTATTACACGGTAAACGGTTACCCGTGTAAAAAAGGCACAAAGTGCGAGAGGAATAAAATTGCCGGATTTTGGGTCTGCGAGACCGAAGGAAGTGATTTCGGTAACTGGGATTATTGCTGCGCACCGACTCATCATTGCGGCTTCTCGCAAGGATATAATTACCCATGGTACATTGTTATAAATAATATCATAGCACTATTTTATCACGACACACATAAAAGCATTATAGCACCTATATATTTTAATTTTTTAAATCGTAGTGAGTATTAGACATATTAGACGCGAGAAAAATATTCTTCACTGAAAGTCAATGGCATAAAAACGAGTTTTTCCCGCAATGAGCACGCAAAAACAAGTCATACCACTGATCGCCCTATACAAACTTAATAACAACTCAGTGACAACACTCACCAAATACCTGCAGTATTCCGAAACCCACTAAATATCATCTGCTTCTTTATCCTTAATCTCCCCCGAGACTATGCCAAATTTTGTACTTTCTCTATCTGAAAACAAAAAACAAAAATTTCTAAAGAAAAATATTAAATACGTTGATGTTCCGAAAAAATAATAACGTACTACTAAACTACTGAATGAGAAATATTTTTTTTCATAACTTCTGAAAACTCAATGACAACACTCACCAATGTTGACACTTGTTGCTTTTCTAATCCATCAGATGCCACTTTCTCCTTTATTCTTGGTCTTTCGTAACTTTTCTGCAAATTCACACATTCTATCTTCCTATAGATAAAAAAAGCAACTTTTATGCAAAATTTGTTAAGTGTTAGAAGTTATGTGGACATTTTGAAGCATAAATAATGACCATGCATTAAGAAATCTTCTGTATATTCTACAAATTTAACAATAATTTAATACGAATACTCACTACTATTAAAATTTGTCGTATTCTTAACTTCAATTGCTACCTGCTCCATTGTCCTTAGTATTTTGCGCCATCTTGGCGAATTATTTTCCCCTACAGACAAACGAGACAATTTCATGCAAAATTTGTTTAAATGTTATATTAATATATATTATTATTATTTAATCTATTATTATTGGTTATATGGTATATTTTAAAACAAAAATGATAGCTATGAATAAAAAATCTTTTGTACATTTTGCAAATTTAATAACAATTTAATGCAAACACTTACTATTGGTGAAACTTGTCTGCATTGTCTGCTATATTGTTCTTTGTCTTCTGCAGTTTTCCTACAAGCTTTTTCTCTTCTGCTAGAAACAAATAAGACAATTTTTCAAAATTGCAAAATTCTTTATTCAGATATTATGTGAGCATTATGAAGCAAAAATGCCACTATACATGGAGGAATTTCTTGTTATCATGCAAACTCGATAACAATTCAATACAAGCACTCACCACTGCTGAAACTGATTGCATTCCTAATCCATTATTTACTGCTTACTTCTTTATCCTTGGTTTCTATCACGGCTTTTCCATGAACTACTGCGCATTCTTCTCTAAAAAATCTAAGAGAAAACTTTTCAAGATTCGGTATTTGGACTATATCGACGTTTCGAGACATTAGTAGTGCAACAAGAAATATAACTTTTCTAACTTCTACGAATTCAATAATTACCTGATACTTAATATTTCTGCTACTTGTCGGATTCCTCGCTCGACCGTTACTGTTCACTCCATTGTTTTTGGTATTTCACGCCTTTCCCGGGAATTACCGCGCTTTTCCTACCAACAAGGAAGACATCTTGTGTAAAATTCCTCGCTATAAATTAAGCACTATGTCGACGTTTCGAAGCACCAATGGCGGCCGTGCAACGGGAAATAATTTGCATAATTTTTACGAATTTAGCAATGACCCGATGTAAACATTCATCACTGCCGACACTTGTCGGATTCACCGCCTTTATCCTGACTTTCCGCGACTACTTCGCGACTACTCTACTACTCCGCGAGCCGTCCCTACACTTGTCTTTTATAAATTATTTCTCATAAAAAATTCGCTATTTAGGTGCTATGTCGGCGCTTCGGAAGATCAATGGCGGCCATGTAGCGAGAAGTACTTCCCGTACCTCCCAAGCCCGCGACCCTCCGTACATACCGCGGATGGCGGCAACGATCGTCATGATCCTAGTTATTACGGCAGACACTGGCCGATCACGTACTTGCACCGAGAACCACCTCCAAACTGTACGGATTCGCTCGCGTCCGCGGACAACAGCGGAAATCGTCGCACGAACGAGACAACGCCGAGAACGATCGAGAAACCGACGAGCATCACCGGCACGACGACGATCGAGGCTAACGATAGCACGACGACGGCTACCACGAGAACACGTCGACGACGACTACGAACGCGAATGACGCCGGCCAACAACGATGCGAGAAACAATCGTATGATATACTTACAGAAAACCGGCGACGCCACAGCAAACCACACTCGCCGTTCGAGAGGACGTGCTGCGAAAATCGAGCAAATTTTGAAACCGCCGCGGACCGTTACAATTGGCGAGCTCACTCCTGACGTCACCACCTTGCCGCGCATTTCGACAACTGCTGCCACCGACGGCGTTAGCGCGCACTTCAAGCGCACGAAAGTCGAGACGGAAAACGGCGGGATGATTCAAGTGCCTCTAATCACGCCGAACAATTCACTGCCGATAGGAGTTTAAGTGTCTAATAACGATCTCGAATATTCGCATCTATCGTCACATCAACGTCGAAGCAGCGATATATATTGTAATTAGGCCTGTTCCTTTTAACTGAAGTGTTGCGCTGCAACTTCGTTCTTTCTCTCTTCAACGCTGAGTTGTGTACTTGTTCACTTTATTGAGCCCGTTTCTATCGATGTCCATTAAACTTTAATTTGAGTTTGCGCTTTATTCAAACAAAGAATTGAACTCAAGTTTAATCAACTTTTGGTAAAAATATGCATAAAGGAGCGAAAAGTGCAATCTAATTCAGCTAAAAAGAACAGATCTATTTTGTCGATATGCTCGACGATAATCGAAAAGTTTAATTGAATTAATTAAAGGTCGAAAAGTTGGCCGAGAGAGAAAGATTCATATAGGGATTACGGAATTGACATTTATATTTATATGACATAATTAGATCTATTTTGTCAGTTTTGTAAATATTTAAGATCTAAGTTCACAGATCTAAGAAGTAAACTTTTACAGTCGGTATATTATTGCGCTGAAGCTAGAGATGCTTGATCGCACTTGGAATATTTAGCACAAAATAGAAATCGATGTTTCAAACTAGACGAGTGTTTGAAACACGTCTTAGAAACCTCTTACAAACATTTAAAAAGAGTAAAGGTACGGTACGCTGCAAATGCTTTGTAGCGTTTTTACTTCTTTCTCTTTCTTCATTCGAATCCGAGGAATAGAACAAGAGGAAGAAACGCTGCGCAGCATTTGTAGCGGTTGTTGGATCGCACCCTAATGGCTTCTGCACACAGAACGCGGTAATGCTTGCCGCGCGGCGGAAGTTCGCGCGACAGCCAATCAATATGCTGCTTTCCGTAATAACCTTCTAGCTCTTACGGAAAAGCAATATTGATTGGCTGTCACGCGAATTTCCGCCGCGCGGCAAGCACTACCGCGTTCTGTGTGCAGAAGCCATAAGACATATTTTAATAGTCCCTAAGATGCATTTCAAACGGTTGTGTTGTCTGGAGTTGCTTTGTGGCACACACGACGATGCATAACTTTCGATGGTGCACCTGGCTGTAACTGCTGACTAAATAATTGTCGTCTGATTGATTTGTAAACAAGATTCGTACAATAAAGAGTTAATGCATCATCGATTGTTTATTTCATATGTAAGGCTGTTTTTACACTCCTAATGTTTTTAAAATCGTCGCCAATAAGTCCCGATCTACAATAGGTGATTTAAGCCCTAAGCTTTAAGAAATTGACCAATCACAGTCAAATTTGAGGAGAATAATCGACTGTAATTCGTCAATTTTTTAAAGCTTAAAGCTTACTACATCTATTGTAGGTCGGGAATAATACGCTCTAATTATTTTCACCGACTCAATCTTATATTTTGCAAGACTAAACTGTATTCGTTCAATTTAAGGACGAGAACGCAGACTTTCGCGTAACGCATAAGGAAATCAACCAATCATAATTCTTCCCAGGATGAAAATGAAGGACTATAATTGATTGATTCCCTTATGTGTTATACATTATGCTTTTACATTACGCAAAAGTCTGTGCTCAGGCCCTAATAAGTGCATCCAATATTAGATTGCGATCCTGTTTTACGCATTAGGCGCACATTTTCTACAAATGTGCGCATTTGTGTGGCATGGAACGCTTGCAAAGAAACGCTTACTGAACACTCAGTAAGTTCTAATTAGCATATCTTCTAAATTCAAAAATATATACCAATCAGATGCAAAGTACAATGGATTTGTGTCACCGACTGTACAGCACACATAACACTGACTGTACAGCAAACATTCACTACTTGATGATTCATTACGATGGTGGGACTCGATAAAAACCCTTTCAGTAGCCTTATTTTATTACTTTTTAACGACAATATCACTAACGTGGCGTATCGTTGCACAGATTTTCTACCATATATTATATTTGCGCAATGATAACTGTCGTTAAAAGTTATAAGATAGGCCTACAGATATCTGTAGTTAGCTGATCTATAGCATTGTGATAATGTTTCTTCCACTAATGCATACGCTTGGAGCATGTGTTTGCGTAAGAGCATGTATGTACGTCACGTACAGTACGTGTTCGAAATCGATCAGTTGTGTTATCACACGCAAGTCAGGCGCATGTGCTTGCGCCACCATGTCGACTAAACCAGGAGCTGACACCGTGAATTTAGCAGGTAAAAATCACTACAATCGATACAATTGGTTTGGTAAAACGTAGCTTAACAAGCTTCTATTTGTGTCATGACGAGAAACAGAAGAGTAAACATAGAACGCAGATTAAGAAATGGAAATAATGATGGTGATGGAAATGATGGATCACAGTGCAGATGGCACAAGAAGTCAAGGATTGTTAAAGTTCCACGAGTCAGAGTAAGGACATTATCTGCTATTTGTGGAAAAGAAAAGATTGAGCTACATCGTGCTTCATCAAGACTAACATATGTGTATTGCCGTAGTGTTTTATGCTACCTCACTTGACAACTTTATGTTACGCAACACATAAACTAACCCTATAGCAATATACAAAACAAAATGTAACACAAGTATCAGACACGTTAGATGTTCTATTTTTCTGTTATTTTTTTCTCTGGGTTTTCTGCTTAAGGCACTATTGCAACATACATGCACTAGACCTTATGTCAGTTTAGAGCTTCTCTCTCATTCCCACATATATCACTTCTAAATATAGCAGACACAATGCAGACTAACTAAGAATCATTATGCTTTGTCCTAACTCTGACTAGAGGAACTCTGAGGGATGTTAAACATGTGAGTATGTGCAAAGACAGCAAAGACGTTTCAAGACTTTCTAAAAAACCAATTTTACTAATAATCACACATAAGCTACTAATAATCACATATACATAAGTTATTAATAATCACACACACAGACATGCAAAGTCACATAAGATCACTGTAGTTGCACAAACATAATTAACATAATTGTAATTATATATAAATAACTAATATATATATATATATATATAAAATTAATAATTAGAATTGAAAATTGTTTATTAAAGAAATGCTTTGGAATGCTCCTAAATTCTCGAGTATCATTTTTCACGAGCTGCAATCTTTAACTTATACTCACTTTTTTGCGCAGGTATGCGAATTAAATACAAAGATAAAAGCGAGGTCTTCACAGAGGATTACCTGGTGAGCAAGGAGCCAATCACGCAGTTCAAAGCATGGTTTGAGGAGGCATGCAATAATTCGCAAATTCTGGAGCCTAACGCAGTACTCATCGGAACAGCGACGAGGTAATATTTTCTCTCGGATTCTTATCTACATGAGAAAAACTTGTTTCATTGTTATCTAAAGACTAGAAAAGACTCGGTCATAGAGAGAGGAACAAAGATATTTTTAGATATTTATTCAGTCAGAGATGTTCTCAGTTATCTCAAGCGAGTTTTAACACAATCTTTCAGACCTACTTTTATACTTTCAGTCGCGATAACAAATATCGTTTCGCGTCCCCGAATTCCTGTCTGATTGATTAATCTATTGCTTAAACTGAAATTGTTTTTTCGTGTAATATAATTTATGAATTATCAACCAAAGTGCTGTCCTCACTCGAGATAAAAATAAAAGTCGCGGCGCCTATTAATAAATCGTGAAAAACGCGATAATTAACATGACTTTCATTAGTGTAAACGTGATGTGTGAATATACGATTCTTTTCTCAGAGACGGTGTCCCGTCAGTGCGCGCAGTTTTGTTGAAGAGTTTCGGCACTGAAGGCTTCACGTTCTACACGAATTACAACAGCAGGAAGGGCCGCGAGATAGTAAGTTCCGCATTCGTGCGGCAAATTCGTGTAGTGCAAATTTAGGAAAAGATTAAAGCCAATTCGTTTTCAGGCTGAAAATCCACACGTCGCACTCACTTTTTACTGGGAGCCGCTTCGACGAAGCGTACGTATTTGTTTTTTCGTTAATGGTTAAATTATTTTCCGCAATTACTTTTTAATTCATTTTTTCTTTGTGATCATCATCGTGATATTTTATTCTTCTGATTTTCAACCGTTTTTCACATGCACACATGTGTAGGTGCGTATCGAAGGGATCGCGGAGAAGACGTCAACGGAAAACTCGGATTATTATTTTCAAAGCCGGCCGTACGAAAGTCAGATCAGCGCTGCGGCCAGCAAGCAGAGCAGCGTGGTAGCTAGCAGAGACAGTCTCATTGCGGAAAAAAACAAACTTCTCGCGCAGTTTCCAGAAGGTCAAACTAAAAGACCGGATTGCTGGTAAGTAGAGCGATAATTTCTTAAGAACTCTAGATAATTTGTGGAAGTGAATTAAAGGAGTTTTTTTGAAACTTTTTTACAAGGAGATTATAAGACACATATTTTTTAACTTTGTATGTTTTTATTATGCACTAACTCGACTGTAAATTTATCCCATAATTCTGATCAAATTGGTCCTAATCAATTATTTAGATTAAATAATGTTATTGTATAAAATATTAAATAATGTTATTGTATAAATTTGTATAAAATAATGTTATTGAGTCGTAATTACTAATAAGAGCCTAATTATCCTTATTAAGATTCTGAATGTCACACAGCGTTGTATGACGTATCAGGATTGAATGGCATCTTCTTACATAAACCAGATAACTGATTGACATCAATCTGATTAAGATTAGAAGTGAATTTCCAATCGGAAAGAAACTTGTTTTTTTTCAGAATTAAAATTCGCATATATACTCTATAACTCAATTAATATAAGAGTTAATTATGAAAAAAAATTGTATGACTAGGATTATATATGGCCCACTTGGAACGTTCAGAAGAAGTCCAGATGAGCTATAACCAGCTTACAGCAAGCTACGCGACTATATTTTCGACTAGATCGCTTCCTTCATAGATTTATTTTCGAAGTTTCGTAAACATTCAACAGATATTGTTTTTCTGCTAAAAGTCTTCTAATGAAGTGAACTAGAATGTTCGTCGAAAATTAATTTATGAAGGACGTAGCACTAACCCGGAAGCCGGACCAAGAATCTCTTAATCTTGATTAACAACTAATTATCAAATCAGAATGCAAGCACCGATTATTTTATTATTTATTTCAAGTGCAAAACATCGAGTGTAAATATATTTTTATGTCGCTTTCTAGATCCAAATGAGACCTCTTTTTTTTAGGGGTGGTTATCTTGTTGTGCCACATTCCATAGAATTCTGGCAAGGCCAGGACGATCGTCTTCACGACAGAATACGCTTCAGACGTCCGAAAGCGAATGAGAAAGTTGACAATGTCCTTGTGCATGAAGGAGAGGATGGTTGGGTTTACGAAAGACTGTCACCATAAAAAATACACGGTATTTATTATCGTTAAAAGAAAATAAAAAGTTGAATGATATATATACGACCGAAAGGGATGATGAATAATTAGCTTACTCTCGCAATGTTCCTCTGCGAGAAATCGGGCAATATTAATTACTGCAACGAATACCTCGTGTTTCCATGAAGACAATAATGTACGTCGAAAGAATCATGTAATATATAGCTTCAAGACAAGAATCTTGTTTTATGCAGTAAAGATGCAAGTTCCTTAATTAACATGTCTTTCTCGTGAGTTTCAATATTTCACGATTCACTCCTGAAACGAACACACAATCGTTATCTCAATGAGCTAATGAATAAGAAAATATATTTATAGTTAATCACACCATCTTGATTCCTCCAAACTGTCTCGATGTCAAAGTATCCCTCCTTCAGCACAAAACTCTCGAATTGCCTCATTCCACCACCCACGCCAAAATAATAAGTTTTTCCGGCGACAAATCTAAGTAAGAACCATATCTACTTTATAACTATTTGTACAAGAATAAGAAATTCGTCGACGATTCATGCACTCACACGACACCGTCGATTTTCAGCCTCTTCTTAAAAACGTCGTGTAGTTTTCTGTAATTATCCGGATTGTAGATCGTCTCGCTTGTAAAAATGTAATCGCATCTTCTATTCTCGTCATCATCGAACAACATTGCGAAGGACTCCCAGTCTCCGGCATAAAGCTCGCATCTAGTTGATACGCTCGTGCGATCGTCGAAATTCAACAGCACGTTTGGTACAGTCAAAAATCTTAGAACTTCCGCATTCTAAAGAAAAAAAACAACATCATTATTTCCTCTATTTGCAGCACGTTACTTGCAAATTATATACGAACGTAATCTTGAAAGTGAACTATGGAATTCTTGAGAAGAGCGAGAATGCCAGTTAATCCCGCACCGCATCCTAAGTCCAAGACGAGCTTATCCTTCAACTCGATTTCCTCTTTCAGTATATACTTACCCAAATCGAAGGTGCATTCCCATATTTTCAAGCCACCTTAATTGTACAACGAATCTTTCATTCTTCAGGGATTTGAGCAAACAGTTTCAAACAGTTTCATACATATACGTACATAATTTTTAATAAATTTTACTTAAATAGAAATTTTTAATAGTAAATATTAGAGATGTGGATAATTACAATGTTGTAAAAGAAACGAAACACAATTGAATTTTTACCGAAGGAATAGTCAACTTTGAATCTCAAATTCACCTTCATATTTCGCCGGAATGAGATCGGAATGTTGTAGCTCTGCCTCAACGATATTCTGCTGGTTTTGCTTCCATGTACTAATAAAATTTTCCATTATTTTATCGAAACGAATTAATCTCAGATTATATCCAGGAAATACTTTCGTCTCTGTACAATAATCGCCTTCATATTTCTCTTCAATTTGTTCAGATGTTATTTGCAGCTTTGATGCAGGAATCCATGCTAATTTCTCCTTCTTTTCACCGGCCTCTAAAATCATTAAAATAATAGAAATTTTCTGAGTGCACGAATACTTCGTGAGCAATGACTTGTTTAAATTTTCGCGCGTTGGAATATCGATTGTGTACTCTAACCTCAAATTCCGACATGCACGCGTGGATCTCTTGAGATATTTCTGCTAAAATAATCCATACCTTCGTCACGATCAACCGTATCTCTTGCAAATCCGAACTTAAACATTTTTTCATACAGAATTTTAAAAATGCTCACAAAACTGAGAAGTTACACGGTTAATAAAATGAAAAATATTAGTTATAATGTAAGACATCGTCAAACAACATTTTAATACTTCTACAACGGTAAGTCAGAAATCTGCGGAACCACTGACGTTTCTCCCACCTTGGACATAGTCGCGACATCTAGTATAAAATATGGTAATTTCTAACACTAAAATAAAGCTCAAGAGATAAAAATTACACGATATTTTAATTTTTTTAAATACCAACATTTATACATGCAAATTGCAATGCCAGAGATAGGATATTCTGTAGTATATATATATCGACACAGTTTGTCAGCATTAAACTCGTCAAGCGCGCGCGCTTGCAACGTTATGTAATCACGTGTATTCATTTTTACATAATATAATACATTATATAATAAAAATAATCTAGTAATCACAATCTCTCTCTCTCTCTCTCTCTCTCTCTCTCTCTCTCTCTCTCTCTTTTTCTCTTCATATCGCGATGTGACTTGCACGATTTGCTTAGCTCATCTTATATTACATCAACGAATATGTAGGTCTTATCGCGATTTCGCACAATCGGCCGATCGCAATCGCTCGTTTCTCAGTTCCTCGAGAATCGCGCGTCCCTTCTTCGTTATTTTGATAGTGCCGTCATCGCCCGCACCTGCGTCAACTACTCGCTATTTTATCGCGAATTTTTTCAGGAAACCGTGACTTCTACTCCTTTTTTTTTTGCACATAATGATCGCGCTGCATCGCTTCGCGCGCCCGCGTTTCCGGGATCACTATCATCGAAAGCAACAAAGGCGTGTTTCGTGAATTCGACCGCAAGTCTTGCGCCAAATCGCATTAACTTGAAAAAGGAAAACGTTTCCGCACGTCAGGTCGATCAGGGCAAATTAACGATGCGGAAAGCGGAGTCGCAATCTTTCGGCCGAAACGACTCGCCGCGTCGTTACGTTAAATAACAAATGGTCGCAGGAAGCAATTAGTCGACGGCTGTCAACGGGTAAACAAAAGTGTCCGGCGTCTGTCATGAACAAGGAAGGCGCTATCGTAAAATCACCGTCGAACGGACGATAATTCGTCCATTCATTATGTCGACGCTTGTTATTCTTCTTGACAAACTCGCGCACCTCAATCGGACGCATAATGCGAATCTTGCTTGCCGTGGCTGTTGAAGAATTAGCCGACATGCCGGATTAAAATAACATTTGAATCTTTTATCCTTTCGACGATGATTTCATCTTCTCGTTATTAGATTCCGTGTAGCATATTACGCATGTTTTATGCAAAATATAAGCTCTAGGATGACAAGACAAGACAAAAAATCGGAATAAAAATGTCCGAAAATTTATAGTTTCCGCAACATTGTAAGTTTCTCGATCTATTAATCATAAAGGCGACTGAAGTTTCGTAAGTCCAATACGCCAACTGTTAACGACATATTTCCTTAGAATCAACTGAGATGAGCTCGGGAGACAAACATATTATTCACAAAAGATGTTCCGGATACCAGATGTCGCAAATATAAATGCAAACTCTAAGATAGTTAATGAGACAAAAGAGCGAAATAAAAATATTTCTGCAAATCTGTAGTTTCCTCAACATCACAAGCTTGTCAATCTACGAATCACGAAAGCGACTAAAGTTTTGAAAGTCCGATACATTAATTAGACATATTTACTAATTAGACATATTTATTAATTAGACATATTTATTAATTAAACATATTTTCTCAGAATTAACAAAAATCAGAATTAATTACTGACCGACGTATATTCTTAGAACTTCGAGATAATCTCGAAGCGCGGTTCGGAGGACAAGCATATTATTCGCAAAAGATATTCCGGATATCAGACATCGTCGGGAGCTATCGACGTTCACCTTATCGCGCGCTGTTCGATTTCTTATCATGCATTCCGCGCCCTTCCGCATTTCACGGTCGTGGAAAGACGACAGCAGAAGTCACTAGATTTCGGACGACACGAGGGGAGTCGCTGCTCCTCTCCTCCTCCATGTCATCGTAACTGTCGCCGTCGGCACCGTCATTGTGAATCGTCGCGTGAACGTGCAGAAGAGGGGACAGGGTTAAGGGACCAAACGGGTTGTTCGAACGCCGCGGCTTCCACGAGGGACTTCCCGGTCGCGTTCGGTTTTTCGTTTAAAAGCGGACGCGGTAACACGACGCCTGTCCAGTTCACACATTTCACACGCGCTGTGTATAACGGTGTCAATCACCATGAGATCGTCCTCTCATCTCGTCGCGCCCGCATCGAGCATCCTGCTGCTCCTCTTCGGCGTCCTCCTCGAGCACACGGTCCTCGCCTCGCCCGTCCAACGTGCAAACCGCGCCGGTAAGCCACTTTGAGAATTTTCACGATTTCGCGATGAAATTGGAATTTTTCTAAATTAAAACGCCCGAGTCAAGAGAGACTTTACGAGACTTGATGAACTTGATAGTACCGATAGAGGAGACGCAGACTGACGTTTATGAGATGATGCACACGACGTGTTTAAAATATAACTTTGTTTAATGTGCCACTTCGAAGCAAGTGTCATGTCATTAAAGAACAGACTCTTGTGTTGTTATGAACACTGACGTAATTTGTCGAAACCGACGTTTTTATGTGGATATGCTTCAGTGCTTCTCTTGATTACTCATGACTCGGAGTCACGGCCGAAAGAAAAGTGCTCACTATTTTTATTTATTTTTTGTTATCGATCAGATAACAATCTACTAACACTTCTTTGACGAATAATTATTTGTAGTCTGTTATGTTTCTTGTGAATGATAATGACTCCGCGATGTGTATGAAAATACCGTACGCGAGATAGCGCGAAACGCGAAAGTCCGCGTGAAATTTCAGCGTTTGCCCAGCCATCGGCGAATTCAAAGAGTTTCGCGACTGTTCAAATGCTCATTAACATCCACTCGACTGAGTCGTGAGTCATCCGCATGGAAATTAAATTATTTAATCGTCACAGCAAAGTCCGGCTAGAAGTACCGATAGTCGCAATAAATGCACGACGTCATAGCCGACCAGCTTCAAACTTGCCGTGTCAGGGTGCCATCGCTGACGTGGGATGCTCAATTTTCTGATCGCGTTACAATGCCTGGCTCATATAACGCTCATATATCGTGTCGACACTCATCCGAGTCGCGAACAAGAAATTCTGTCGCAGTGCTAATCGCTAATCATTCTTACGTCTTCGCGACGGGAAATAATATGCACGAATGCGCAGTCACCGACGACGAGTTTCGGGAACCTGTTTGCGAGACTCCAATGCCGACAAAAATTACAACGTATATTCCCCATGTAAAAAAAGAACGTGGGATTTTCGCGAATCTTTATTTTCGGACACTGATTTGTATGACAAAGGCCACTGTAATATACAGTATAATAAAAAATGAACGGATATTTCCAATCATGAATCCGATTTAACCATCTGGGTTAAATTCCGCGATCAAAATTTATATCCGATCAGAAAACTCCCGGTAAGAAATATCTGTTCGTAATTATTTGATCGGTTTATCTGAAATGTCATTATGGTCGGAAGTACCCGATTAAATTTGATCGGAACTTGATCGGAAATATACGTTTGATGTTTTATCGGAATTTGAATGTTTTTATAGTAGAATTTGTCTCAGTGTAGCTGAAAATAACCTTGGAAACTTATCGAGCTCCATTGACTGTTAAATTGACATCAATGAGTTGATGTACACGATGAAAATCCTGAGAATATCGATCATGTATCTTTACTCCCGCGCGAAAAGTGGAAATCTCCATTGAATTCATTACTGAAAACTGCCTTTGTAATAAATATACTACTATAATGTTACTGGTACCCAACGGCTATTACTTGTTTTATTTGAACAATAGGAAATGTAATTAGCGTCGAAAATATAAATTTAAAAACAGCTTTTCATAAACTTTTTACGAGTTCACGTTGGGCGCGAAGATATACAATCGATACTTTTTGATCAGGAAGAAATAGGAAGGATCATGTGAGATGAAGTCTAAGCAGCTTGATAAAATGATCGACATTTGACGATCCCTCCTCTTGACCAACCGATAGTTTTCTCATAAAAGTTTCCATCCGCAGAGGACAGTATCTGTCAGGTCGAAATTGTTTCACGGCTCCCGGCGATCGCGTATCTCACGGCTAGAATATTATTCCGCGCGACAGGGATACGTTCGCAATTGCGCAACTAATTGTTGAAAATGTGTTTACCGACTCGTTAGCTGACTCACGAGCCGCGAGTAAAATATCATAAGTCCGCATTTTATAAGAGCGTATTTCTGGCACTCATTTTCTGGCACTCATTTTCTGGCGCGTGATTTATGCTCGTCAAAAGTCTTTCGATGTCGCCAATGATGATGTGGAAGATGTCAATCGTGCCGCGATGACAATCTGACGATTTGCAGCGATAATTAATGCATTCTCCAAAAACCGAGCAATGATCTCGTAGCTTCGCTTTATCACGTGCTGAGGCGCGTATCAATAGTCATTACTAGTCCTACGTGAGACTCAGATCTGAATTTGGAATTAAATCTGAGTTTTTATCCGAATTGCGTAATATATGTAACGTTATATTAATCGTGAAAATTACACATATAATTTGTATGTTTCGGTTGAGAAACTCATATGTAACTATCAAAGTTCACATCTGAGTATCTCATTTGAGGAAAGTTTCAAATAATGACTATTAATATAGCCCTAAATGCCTCACGTGAGATAAGTTTTTTAAATGACAACTATTGATATGCGCCTAAAAGAGAAACGTCTCTTTCTCATGACTATCATTGCATAATGAAATATTTAGAGGAACCACTTCTGTAGTACAAATTAACGATAAAATGCATACAGCTATTATCTTTTCACTTGAACAACAGTAAATATAGCATCGACAACGTAAACGAGATCAACCATTTGTTTCCTTTCTCCCGTTGTGAACGATGAACGGATATTTTGACTTTGCGCAGAGTGCCCGAGGATCGTCAGTCGGGAGGAATGGAAGGCCAGGAAGCGCCTGGACTACCAGCTACTGCCGGTGACACCAACGCCGTACGTGGTGATCCACCACGGGGGCATACCCAAGTACTGCACGGATCAAGAATCGTGCTCCGCGATCGTTCGGTCTTACCAAGATCTCCATCTTGACGATCGGGGCTGGTGGGATATCGGCTACAACTTCCTTGTTGGCGAAGACGGCAACGTCTACGCTGGTCGCGGCTGGAACTTGGTCGGCGCCCACGCACCTGGATATAACACGCAGAGCATCGGCATATGCGTTCTAGGAGACTTTAGTGGTACTTGAGATTATTTGCTTATCTTCATCGAGCATCACAAAATAGGGCACGATTAAAAGGCGCAAATGCGTGATCATCATGCAAACGCAGCGGCACAATCATTGTCCAAATCCTCGTTTAATTCGTTGCTGAAAATAACATCGATTTCATATCGCTATGTCATTCATCCGAAGATCCTCTTCACTCGAGTCTGTTTCTCGCGGAAAGATAATCAGATTCAACGAAAACAGATTTAAATCTCTTTTGCTAAATAACGATGAGGCATAACAAGAAATGATTAAATAGCGAATTCAGAGATGAGTCGAAAATTTGGCGCTATTTCTATATGTTAATTTGCGAGAGATTTCGCATGGGAGGATTTATTTATTTATTTACAACGTAGCTGTGTCGTCGAGATATACATACGCGTATTGAGGAAAAAACAGCTGCGCTTTTGCGTCAATGCGCTCATTGACGTAACGCAAATATGATTCCGCAGATTTTCTCCCGAACTCGGCCGCCCTGAAGGCACTGAACGAGTTGATAGCCTGCGGGGTTTCACTTGGCAAGATAAACGACAAGTATAACGTGATCGGCCATCGGCAGACGCGAGTAACAGAGTGTCCTGGCGAATCCTTCTACAAGTACGTGACAGCTCTTCCTCGTTGGACTGCGCATCCGATACCGATTCGTACAAACTTCACCACCACCACCACCACTACGACGACAGAGGCAACGGAGCCAAGAGACAATAATGTGGAGGAGAAACATGGCAAACTCGCCGCTTCATGATGACTCTTCCAGGTCACTCTCACAAGACAGACCAAATTTATGCTAAATGCCACTACCCAGTGCAAAATGAAGACTTGACAGAACAACAAGGGCTCGCAGGTATCACGTCGACGAGATCTCGGTCTTGTTGCAAGGCGCTCACACGTGATCATAGCTAATTTTTCTATTATTTTCTTTTATTTTTTATTTTTTTTTAACAAGCTGTAGACTTGATAAAAAAAAATAGTCGGATTCATACACCAACTGGCATAATAGCCTTGATAAATCCTGTACAATTATACTTAATACCTAATTAAGTTAGTAGTATCTTCTAATCGTACATTCGGTTGTTAAACGCTTTTTATTAATGAAGTTGCGTTCGCGCGCTTTTTATTAATGAAGTTGCGTTTGCGCGCTTTTTATTAATGAAGTTGCGACGTTTCAACTTGTCAGAATTCTCAGGCGCCTTTAAAGCATCTTTTAGAAGTTCGTGCATAGTTTGGGTAAATAACAAATCTCAATTATGTACGCGATCAGACAAGCCCGACGACCAGTCGCATAACGTGTTGAGACTATTACGTCGGTCTGTATGTATAGCACTGTTGTAATTTTAGTGCAATGGCACTATTATATATCTCAGTATGCTAGATATTGAATAACCGTTGCTACCTCTTGCTACACGCTCGTTACGATAGGTCCTGCTCGCTGACGGAACGTAACGTCGTCCTTCGGGCCATTCGTTTTACGGAAAACGGTTCTCACAGTCCCGTGATTCCCCAGTGTCCCAGATTCCCAGCGCGTCACGTGCGCGCTTAACATCAATAACACATAACAGCGACTGAGATCTATGTCGCGAGTGAAACTTGCTAATCGAAGCCGGCGCGTGTCGTCGAAATGATGCACAGTTCATCGCAAAAGTCGACGTGCGTTCCCGTACTTGCGTGCGCGCCGCCGCGTTTTGACAAACGAGATCGATGTCCCTCATGTGTATGTTCGCGTGCTCGAGCCGTATCTTTACGTGTACCCCGCGAACTCGCGGCTTTCGCGTTTAATTACTTCATTATGATAATTGAAAGATCACCGTGCGACGTGATTCTTCCTAACGAAACGAATTCCATCGCGCGCGCGCGCACGTACTAATAATTATGCAAAAAAAGTGTAAATTATGATCAAATCATGTTTTATTTATGGACACCGAAACGATTGCGGCATGTGCGGAAGGAATCCGTAGAACAAAGATTGACTTTCACAAGCGATTTCGAACAACGTAAATCATAGACATGAGTCTGCACGAAAGACGACGTTTCTTGCTGATCATTGGCAGTCTTTTCCTCGTCAGTGCGAAATACTATCTAACTATATTTAAATGATTGCAAGTAGCAAACTGAAGAAAAAAGAAATAAAATATTAAATTGTCGATTAATCATAATGATCGATCGTCTCTCTCGGGAACGTGTGTTATTAAGTGCGATTCTGCGGGAGTCGAATCGATAAGATATCGCGTAATATAACGTGACACATTTGCTGCCTGGTATGCGTTTATAATGTCTTTTTTCAAACATTCCTTATGGAAAAAAATGCGAGGAAAAAACAGCCAGACTCTCCGGCGAGATTCTGTAGCGCGTTTCGCCGTTCGAGCAAATCACATCGAACGATCGGCTTCGATCGCGCGAGCTTATTTATTGACTAATTCTCACAAATAATGATTAACAGATCAGACTGCTTGATCGACTCGTTAACGCTCCTAAAAGAGCTTGTTCCTCTTAAGCAGTACAAACGATTATTAGTGACGTTGCGCCACGGTTAATTGCATTTATCAGTTTTTGTCCATTAAAGTAGAATTAAACAGTATTCCATAGATGTATGTAATATCTGTATACGATTGACGATAAAATAAATATGTATTGTAGAATACATCCCTTTTTCTTTTTACACATGTTATTCCTCTCATTTGTACAGTAAGTTCAATAAAATTACGAAATATAGCTGAGAGATGAGCACTGAATTCTCGTCATCAGTCGTCATCAGTCATCACTCTCTCTACTAGCACAGAACTTACGGTAAGAGTATCTTGGGTATTCCTCCTAAAATAAGTTCTCTCTCTCATAATAAACTTTTTTCTTTACAATAAGAAATAAACAGATCAATATTTTTCCCGACGATACGTCCGGAATGTCATTATTCACTCTGTGATTTCCGTTGCGAGCCCGTTTCCCCACTTTTCCTCCTTCATCCCCGTTAATGAGCAAATAACAAGATTAGTTGGAAAGACTCAGTAAGGGGAAAGCCCAGCTGAGAAAATATATAATGTATGCGTACACAATCACGCACACACGCACGTACACGTACGCTTCTGGTATCACAGTGAGATATGAGCATGTCACATAACACACACACATACACGCAGCGGTCAGAGATCATGCCTCGCGCACTATATCGTTAATTAAGAAGATAATCATATATAATGCGAAATTCTTCCCCGTGGCATCAGTAGTCGGTATCGTTTAACGCGTCAAAATGTACATCGCATCAGCGACGTCGGCGGTGGTCATCGCGGCGGCCTACTTAACATTCCTCATCCCGGAGACCCGTGCCAGTAATACATTAATTATATTAATCATGCTAATGCCGCGAGTCTCATATCGTGAATGCTATCTCACGTGGAGATCACTGGAAGACAGCGAAGCAACTCTCGTCATCCCGCAGTCAGTCATTCCTCATGTCAGCGCGAAAATTTCGCTGTAACGCGCATCGATTGCTATCGAGCGACATTTTGCGCGAAAACGGGCGAAAGACAATTTATTAGTGCTCGCGTCATCTCCGCGATATTGTGCAATGTCGCGATAATCTCTTCAATAACGCCACGATATTTTTCTTGATTAAAAGGTTATCGTTGGATCACTCAGCGGAATATTAATAAATGACTTTTGCTACTTGATGACATTTCTATCCTCGGCGCTTTCTTGATTAGTCATTAATCCGCGATTGATCAGCCACGACATTAATCGTCGATGGCTGATTGATCGTACAAGCAATATCGCAACCAGTATTATTGTGAGATCTTTTTGTATAAAGCTATGATGTATTCATCGGCACAAATTTTTCCAAAGTACAAGGTGGCATCCGACGATTATCGAGGTTTCTTGGATAATCCACAATCGTGTCGAAGAACTGTTTGCATTACCGTGTAAGAAATATTTTTGCTCGCTTCTGTTCTTATAAACGCACGTTCAATTTTATTCCCATTATTGCAAGTAGAAATTATAGGTACACAATTAACCGGCTTATAATCACACGCAAATTGTGCGCTGCCGCAATCCTTGGCTCTCAAGGTTCACCGCATCGACCGTGCAACGTTGTAAACTGTCAGACGATGTGAATTATTCCGTTCACGTGAGAGACAAACAAAACATGCAAAACAGCATGTGGGCTCATAAATCTCCGTTTTTTGTCCGTTGGAACGATACGTTTGCGTAAAACCTTATGCCAGTGGTTACAAGCTCAAAATATCAACTCAAATTCTAACTTATGCGAATTTATCGGTCGATCAAGTCGATTGCATAATCTCTTTCGAGTGACAAATATTAAATATGACATTAATATTTCCTACTTGGCAATTCAATCGAAACTTGACGCTGCACGTGTCATTTTTTGCACCACTGAGCGCAGTCGTTAATTATTATCTAGATAGCTCAGTATTTGATGTCAATGAGAAAGGATTCTTTAGGTTTCCCAGCTGTCCCGACGATCATCTCGAGAGCGGAATGGGGTGCTAGAGCACCCAAGAGCGCAGCACTTAATCTCGCGAGACATCCGGCGCCTTATGTCGTTCTTCATCACTCGACCGGTAACCGATGCGAGACTCAAGCCGTTTGCCAACTGAGAATAAGAGAATTTCAGGTGAGCCACTACCAAACGACGAACACCTGCTTAAAAGACAGCAGACTTCTCAATATTCGATTAATCGTATGCAAGAAACCAATCAAAATAGAGTTACGTTGTTATTTTTCTTTTTTGTCGAGACAAGATAATTTTTCATCGTCAATATTGATCGGTTTTCCGCTTCTTTGTTTTTTATCCATTCTCCGGCATGACAGGTAAAAAATATGACCTTTCGTATATATTGTCACGTCGAAATATTACAGTAAAAATTATATTTTTTTTCACAATGTTTTCTGCAGATCTGAACTATATACTATAATTGTTGTATAAATTATTACAGGAACAGTAAATCTGACAGCTTATCTGGTATACAATATTAAAAAACAATCAAATCGTTGTATATACTTTTGAACAAATATATAATAATTTCGGTCAAAATTCTGTACGAATCAAGATTACAAAAATTTCGTCGCACTTATTTTATCCGTGATATGCCTCTCATAATAATCGTCGAATTTTGTTTGAAGAATTATCACATGAACAACAAAAAGTGGTCCGACATTGGCTATAATTTCGTAGTCGGCGAGGACGGCAACATCTACGAAGGCCGCGGTTGGAATAAGAAAGGCGCTCATTCCAAGCCCTTCAATGGCAAAAGTATTGGAATATGTATCGTTGGCGATTTCACCAGTAAGCTCTAAAATGAAAAAAAATACAAACTTCCCTACCACTTGTACATTTTCTGATACGTTTCTTTTCTTGGTAGATCGAACGCCAAACACAGCTGCGGTTCAAGCTGTTCAGCGGCTAATCAGTTACGGAGTAACTATCGGCGAAATAAAGAACGACTACAAGCTGCTTGGACATCGGCAAACCTGGCAGACCCAATGTCCTGGAAATAGTCTTTACACGATGATACAATCGTGGCCTCATTGGGCGCAGGCGGCTTAATAAGCATTATTTTTCAATAAGAGTGCAATAAGAACGTTCCAATCAACCGTGATCGGGGTGTTCAGATCGTGAGCTATGACTGCATTTGTAGTTTTATATGTGTATTTATGTCTCATTTCTCACTGGGTCTGTCAATACACGTCCGAAGAAATCAATCGAATGGTCTTCATTTATTTACTATAATTTCTACGAAATAACAATTTAACGATGTCATCGAAACGAGGTTGTCAAACCAAGTAACGTTTGTTATGTAACGTTTTCACGTGATAGTCACATGTAGACTGTTACCAGGCCATTGACACAACTATCGTAGATGTCCTGCTTCGTCCTGACACAAACCTCGAAACTTGAGAGATCAAATATCATGTTATCCCTTTCGTAATCAATCTGGTCCCTCACCTGAGACAGATCTTTTCACATCTCTTACTCTCTAAATTACTTGAGGTGGAATTTCTTTATGTCTCTGAAGACACAACTTAACGAGCGCGACGATGACGCATCTCAAGCGGAATTCGCCTGCCAAGTTTCTCGTTTAGTTCCTCTATATACATCTTGGCCTCATAGGAAATGCCAGATCTGAGATTATCAGCAATGGTGACGTAACGATTGCGATCATTCAGAAATTAATTCTGAAATATATTTACTTGAAGCAGCAGCCGACGAAATAACCTCTATGAATTATTCACGAACCCGAAGAATGTTCAAACTCTTGTCCCGCTCGTCCAGGTGATTGCATTTATCGTCTGTCCCCGACGTCTGTATCCCGACCACGGAATAATATGCGGTAAGAGAAAAATTGTGATGAGTGCGTCCCGTGCACTTCAAGTCCGTTCTGTTCAAGCTGCTGTCTGAGAGATCGAGTGATTGAACATTAAGCAGGTACTCGAGTTATACAAGTTGAGCGTGTGTAACATCCAAAGGACATAAGGGAGAGACCATTTGGCTCACAAATCGCGTGACGTAAACGTAAATTTAAGCTGAAGTACCGATAAAGATATTGTTCTAAGTTTGAGTACTCGAAAAAAGATTGAAGCGACGGTAAGTTCGATCGTAAGCGAAAATAACGGGGATTTCAACAGGTCGAGATTGCAACTATTTTCTCTTACGAGCAAGTTTACCGTCCTTCTACCTTCTTCTCGATTACACAGATCTAAGGCATTATCTCGACTGGTCCTTTGGCTTTGTGGTTTCATGTGTATAGTGATGGCAATTTTACGCGATAAATCCGCGCGCTACAAATAAAATATCGTTCATTGGCGAAGAACAGGAAGACCATGAAAATCAGCATAGACATTTCGGACTTCGCGGTTGGCCAGCGATTCGTGACAATCTCGCGACAATAGTCGTTCTGATCGTGTTGAACGATCGGGCGGTCGCTTTAAAGCCGAACGATCTTTACACAATGGCGATCGGAATTCGCCAACGTTTGACAGTTCAGCCGAACACGTGCGATACTCCAGCGGGCGAGAAGGATCAAGATCGCCGTTGCATGCAGGCATGATCAGTCGTCCTACATTGGAAATTGCCATTGCGTGATTGATCGTATGTCGCATGTGAAAGAAAAAATAGTCGATCTCATTACAAGTCACGGTTATTTTCAGCATCATACATTCTGGTTATCCTGATGAAAACAAAAAAATAGCAATTTTGCAGCAGCAAAAAAGTAGAAGTAGCAATTTGCCTACAAGATTATTATCAATAATAGCAGAACACTTACGCTACACAGTGGATTTCGCGACTATAAGTATTTTATTGTAAATAATCGCAAATACTGGCCACTATTTCCTCAGTGAAAAGGTCAATAAATACGAGGCACTTCTTTATGCGACGCGTAATTGCGAAGTACCCATTTCACGTTTAAGCATACTTGAGTAGCATTGATTATCTTATTACTCATTTATTAATGCGTTTATTCGCAAATCCATGCTGGGCAAGAAGCAGATTCTCATGGAAAACCGTAAAATTACTGTGCGCGTTATACATCCTGTATTACAGCTCCTCATAGAGTGTTTTATTAAATATAATAATTATATTCACACGGGGACATATCTTGAAAAAAAATACATTAAGTCAAATCACCGTCGTAGTTGTTAGAAAGAATTTCTAGACGAAACAAGTCGTCCCTTGGTCGTCCGTTTTCTTGACGATTAAACAACTTCGTTACCACTTCCGTGAAGCGTCGTAGAACTATAGCCACTTTCTGACCTATAGCCCTCGTAAATAAAATAAAGACACGGTGAATAGGACACGTGGAAAAGTATGCATCGTCAGTCTTACGAGACGACTCGTAGCGACTCGTACTCCACTTCGGGGATAAAAAGAGGCTCGCGCAATACGATGAATCAGAGTGACACTTTCGACAGTGGTGAATCAAACGGCAACTTATCCAACGTCCTATGAACGGGAAAACGAGAATGGGGATTCTTATCAAATAGTATAAGGTGACGAAGTTCGTACTAATCTACGATACTGCATAGGCGACTTCGGTATTACTTCATTTCCTAGTAACGAGAGTTCCTCGTGGGACTCCCACTTGAAAAGGTAATTATCGTGAAAGGGTAAAAGTACCAATTTCCGGATACTTACCTGCTACGACTCTGCATTTTCTTGTGTTGCTTTGGTCTTTAACACTTACAATCCCTTAAGTCCCTATAATAGCGTAGTAAGGAGGGTTTTATAGCTATTACTAATCTGACAAATTATAAAGAAAACTCTGATGGCATACAACCAACTGAAAGAAAAAGGACCGATGAGAACCAGTCGCGGTTATTGGTGCCAGTATTAAACTATTAAAAAGACAATAATGTCAGACAATATCAACGCACGCGCTAAATATTTTTCCGGACTTATAATGCATGCGGTAAAGCAATCTTTCACGTCAGAGGCCGAGACCCTTTATCCTAAATTATTAATATTAATTAATCCCAATAGCATCTATCCTTAACAAATCACTTTTAATCACGTACTTTATTATTGAATTTCTATTGTTGCGAAAAACACTGTCTTAGGAGTTGAACCTCCCCACTTTTGCTAATCTACTTTTTGCAATATATAAAAAGTTAAAAAATCATAAAAGTTTCCCAAAATTCTATCTGAATTGTACAACGGTTAAATGTGAATGTTTAAATATTGACCATAGAATATATATATATATATATTTTTTTTTTTTTTTTTATCTTGGAAGTCGAAATATTCGTATTTAAAGACCAAAGCAATAAGAAAGTCCAGGATTAGATACGTGTGCGGGCATTGGCACATTTACTATAGTTTCAGGTGATGTTAGATATACTCGTTCTGTTGCATGTGACATTCTTGTACTTTCTAGACGCGCATTTTCTACTCGTTGATTATTTCATTTGAGATCTGCGTATGAAAATGCTTGATATTTACGACTATAATTGCGCAGGGCAGTAATCGCAGCTGGAGAGAGCACTCTTATTACGTGACTTTTTCAATCTTCAGATTACACTTTTACTTTTGTATATCGCGACGATAAAATCATCCGAAGAGTGTACACGCGACGCCGAGATACCTATGAACTGTAACATGATCGATGTGTCATTGCTCCGTACCCACTAACATCGATTCCAGCCCGCGATGCGCGAACAAATAAATAAAGCTGGGTAACGACGAGTATCCGCCAATGAGAAAAGGCGTCGAATTGGGGCGCAGAACGAAACGAAAATGAGAGTCGATAATCGCCGAGTCCACCGCCGGGTCAAGGTTATCGTGACAAACGAGGCGCCGATCAACGAGAGATAAGGGTCTTCCCTTAACAAAATTATCCGTCAGGAAGATATCGATCCACCACGCGTTCTATTCGTATCGAACGGCACTCGATCGACGGGAAAACAAATGCTGCCCGATGAATTCCATTTTATCAAACCGGGCCGTTTTCTCGTATAATACATCCCAGGGATAGAGTTCAGCCTATCTTCGAGGTAATCTATCATTGCAACCGCTTTTCCGCGGTTATTGACGCAGAGTGGGAAAGAGAGAGAAAGAGGGGGAGGAAGATAAACACGCGCATCGCTTATTCCATTTCAAAGAGTCGATCGAACGCGACGCTATTCCCGCCCACAAGAATGCACTTCTACCGGAGGGAGAAACTCCGACATGAATTCTTCATCGATGCCCGATCATTTATTTATCAGCCGGCCTAGCCGGACGCTGCGGTCCCATGTGAAAATCCTATTACACGAGAGACGGCTTCCGGCCGGGCAGCTCGCGCGACGTCCGCGGCGACCGGACTCTCGCAGGTGGCGTCCCGACGCGCCGTCGGGCCGACGTGCATCATTCGACTCGCGACGCTTCCTCGTGTCGCACGTCGCCGACGTCCGACGCGTGATATTCCAAACCGCGCCTACCTTCGACCCGCATATGATATCGTTAATCGAGGCGCAAATGTCGCTTCTAAAGTCGAGGTGAACCCGAGCCGAGCCAGGTACCACTTTTCTTCCTTCGATTCGCACAGCACGCCGGAGCGAGCACCCAGAATTCATTCATAGATTCACCTTTTTGCATAATTCATTCTAAAGCAGCAGATATATCAAAAAGAGTCCTTTGTCGTAAGACGTGAGACGCGTGTTTCTTTCTTATTCACACCATCGTACAGTTCTTTTCTGATCAGAGTGTCGTACTGAGAGAATGAAACATCGTTGACCTCGTTATAATTGTAGTCACATCCAGTGTCATTTGTACACTCTTGTATTCACATTTCTCGCTCAAGAGAACAGTTTACGTGTCATTTCGAAGCTATTTATATATTTCCTATTTATATATTCCTCCTTTTGCAGTCGCTTATTATTTTTATTACTTGCTACTTCTTATTCTCGTTCTCTTGTGCTATTATATGTACTAGAATGATATTCTTCAATAAACGCTTATATGATTGTGATTGTGATTTTCCGAATTCAAAGTTTAAATTTCTTACCAAGACTCGCGTTGGTGTTTATTAGTCTGTCTCCATTTGTATTAATTATGATTCTTTTGCTGCTTTAACCGAAAGTAGTAATAGCAATTTACATATATAATATCTGATATAATATAATATTAGTAAGTATCATTGGTCATTTAATTTTTCGAGAGTCCTCAATGACTCTTCGACCTGCGAAGGTGTTTATAAAAAACACATGGCGGAAAGATCGGGCACATTGATGCGAAGTTTTGCATAATATATGTTTATTCTCGCTAGATCTCCCTTTCACCTTGTTTACGAGGCAGCCGCGTTCGCGAAACCGTGACGTTCGCATTCGTGTTTGTATTTGCAAACTCTGAAATTAAAATATTTACTGATAGTTTCTGTTTGCCTACTTGCTTGTCCGCTTAAACTTAAAAAACAAATCGCGTGTTTTGCACTTTGAGCGTCTTTTAAAACGTCCTCGTGCCGTACTAATTAATACGTATATGAGCACACTTTCCTATAATAATACGTGGAATTTGCGTTGTTAGAAACTCCGGCGATAAATAACAATGGTGGAAGGGGAGAGAAGCTAGACTCGTTATCGCTTTCTATTCGTCATCGTGAAATTATCATTATCGTGAATTTACTCATTACTTTTAAATATGTTTATATTTGGCAACGTACAATCGGTGGACAACAGATTGCAAAACGCTTTTCCTTTCGAATGAGTTTCCCAACGCATTCGTATGTAATAAGAGAATCTGTTTCTTACGAAGAAAGAGATTTGATTGCGTTTTTAGTTTTCAATTTAATTTAATTGCGTTTTGGTTGAGAGACACACAATTTCGGTGACTCTTATGAGCCAAATTTAATTCCAGGAAGCAGAAATTCCACTTTCTTCAACCCGTTGGTTCGTTCGTTACGATCAAACTTTGTTCTCCGCGTTATAATTCTCGGAGGACGAACGTTTCTTTGAAATCTACAGTTAGAAAAAAACTTTTCCGATTTATCGATGAATTTTCCCACTGGATGCCGTCCTGAAGTTCGCCGAAGGGAAAGCATCGCGACCTCTCCTCCGTCGACTGTATGCATATCTCAAACGATGGGAATACGTGCATGTAGAAGGATCGCTCGATGTTCGCCTAGAACGAAAGCACGTAAAGCGATACGGTGACACCGCGCGGCAGCCGCGATACATTTGCATTCCGCCGAACGCAGTCGTGGAAACCGGGAATTCACCGACTATTCTCGCGCAAGAGGAAAAGTCAAGGATCCGCAAAGCGTGTTCCGGATTAACCGCGCGATACGAGTCGCTTATGTGTTATTTAACTAAATCGCCGGCGTGATCTAACGTGCGCGATAGCACGTCTCCTATGCATACCAATAAAAATGTAATTATAAATTGTCGTTGGTTGGTTTACGATCGAATAATCATTTAGCATTTACAATCACGGGATTGTAACCGCAGTTTCTGTCGTCACCGCAACATAATTATCGAAACCACATCACAGCGTGGTTGTATTTCTCCGCGCTAACGGCGGGAACAGATCGCACGATCGAAGCGTACGCGAATTGGAAAATTTGAGATCTGAACATGAACCTTCGGACTACTACATGCCAATACTACATGGAACGAATTTTAGGGGCCCGGAAACTCTCATAGTTATCTTCCGCCTGAGCTTACGGCAAATTTCAGTGTTTCGCGTGATCGTAAATGTCGTTATTACATCGTAACTCCTCAATCGCGCATATGACCAACCATGAATATGCAAGCGAAAATTCGTCCGGATACTACAGAATAGGTGCACAAATCGATAACAGGGGTTGAAACCGGCGACAGGGAAATATACCTACGAAATCTGTCTGTGTCGGCCCCCTATAGATTGTAAAGCACGTATTGAGTTGTTACGTAATGCTGTCTTTCGCAGCAACGAATACGCGTTTCGTGTTGCGAAAAACGTGGCTAATTCTTCAACTTGTTTTACGCAAGCAAAATGAAGAAAATGCCAAAGACTTGCTCAGATTCAAAACAGTTAATTGGCCAGTTGAATTCTAGGTTGAACTCGTTTAAATTGCTTAAGTTTAGTCCGGAGATGTGGCAAAATATTAAATTTCTTTAAATTTACTTAAATTATTGCATATATTTTTTATTGACTCATATCAAACACAAATTAAATATATCTTGTATCCCATTTTTCAAAATTCTTAAAAAATTTCTTAAAAAAAAAATCTTATAGTAAAGGAAAAATATCTAAGAAGTTAAAAAATATTTATTTGGTGGGTAACTAATAACATATTTATTTGTACTAATATATTTTTCAAATAAGAAAATATACATTTTCTTAAAATCTTAAAAAAATCTTTTTCTTGAGAACAATTAAATATATAAAAGAATTTTTATTTAAATAAATGTATGTTATTATTATCTACCAAATAAATATTTATTATTTTTTAGATTTTTTTCTCTCAGTACAGATATTTTTATTTTAAAAACAAGTCTACTCTGGAGGGAATCGCACAGCTGTTTCAAATCACTACTGGAGAGGTTAATTTAAGTTGCTACGACTGATATTTTTCATAGTATACGAATTACGGTACACCCACGTAATGTCTATATCCCAGACGATTCTCGAACATCTGTGCTTTCTATTACACAGGCTCAAATGACCTCGTCGGCCGTAAAAACTTGGTTACAGCGTGGAGAGCTCGAGAAACTCGAGAATGTCGTATTGGAGGGTCGAGGTGTGCGCTTATTAGGCGAACACTCGCACGATCTTCGAACTCGTGTCTTCCTGAAGGGACTCCCGAACTATTTGGTAAGAGCGCTCTCGTATCTCTCCTGATCGCGTGTATTTTGAAATATTCGACGAATGTTGCCGTTTCGAGTCAAGAGAGTATAGAGGGCCATAATTTTTCTTGCGCTTTTCAGACAAAGATCTCTCAAGTGCATGACGCTGTGACACGCGGCTCACTAGCGGATACGCAGCGCATCATAGCCGAAGAGTCGAAGAAGAAGTTGGCGATCGCCAAGGACTCTTGTGGCACCCCCTTGATACACAAGGCGGTCTACTACGATCATCCCGACATCGTCGCATGGCTCATAGAAAACTACCCCATCGCACCGCAACAGAAAGATAAGGTCGGCCGTCTTCCCGCCGCGAGATCGCTATTCGCAAGTCGTAAAAACGAAGGACGCGGGAAACTCGATTTTACAACACTCAAACAGTTCTACCAATTTCGATGATTAAAAGATCGACAATTGAGACACTCTCTCGTGTAACCGCGAAATTAGCTTCGCGTAACTTCTCTCGGAATCGCTCTGTTTGCACGACTTAATGTCTCTCTAATTGCTTTAATTCATCCAACTCTTAATGGACAGGGCAGTGCCGATCGATTACCCTCCACTATTCGACCGTCACGATCGGTCTACTTTCGCGACGGGACCGCGCCGCAACGCAAACATTCGTCTCGCAAAATCCATGCCGGGCAGGAGCGCTCTGAATAATCGAGCAGTTTCTTTCCTCCGCGCTTATCGCGAGACCGTATCGCGTGACACCGATAATAACCAAGTGTAAACCACCTGTTCTCCCCTCGCAGACATTAGCTCATACACACGGGCAAGCGCACGCACCGCTTGAAGGTGCGGCCAACCCTAACGTATATCAACCCTGGTGCACGTCTCTCTGTTCGACACTTCTCCCTCGCGGACGCTCGTCGAAGGCGTGAAAAACCGCAATCGTTGCTACCGAATAATTCACTAATCAGGCGATAATTCAATAATCTGACTTCGAGACACGCACGTCCTGTTTAGGAGGGAAAAACAGCTCTGCACTATTGCGCCGCGTGCAAGGATTCCGACGCGATCTGGGATCTTCTCATAGAAGGCGGATGTGACGCCAGCGTTTGCGACAAGAAGGGGAATCCGGCGGCTTATTACTTGGAACACTGCGCGGAGATTGAATTGCCAGAAGTGGAGATCATGTCTCGTCGGAGGAAAAGTACCGGAAGAGATTGTAAGTACCGTCACTTTTGCGCTCATCTCAAGATGGGAATAAGAAAAAGCGCGAGGATTAAGAAGCACCACGACTTCGTATGATGAGTAGCACGTCGAGAACTAAAGAGAATTATGTTTTTTATATTTTTTCCTTCTTTTCCTCTCTTTCCAATATATTAACATGATTAATCAAAATAGTGAACGCTCTTGAGGTGTCCAATGAAACAAACAAGAGAAAGTAAATTCAAGGCAAGCGCAGGTATTGTTCGAGTGAGATTAAAAATAACTATGTTACATAATAAGATAAATATATTTTTTAATCAATTCATCTTTTTTTATTTATTTTATTTCTAGGTTAGACTGTTGATCTTGATTGCCTTGATTTCCTTTCTCTCTTGCTTGTCTTGATTAACCAAATTAAAGAAAAGATTTATTTATTCTATTAAGAGAAAAATATATCTAAATTTCTTTGGATGATCTCTAAAAAAATTAAAAATTTAGATGTCAACTATTTTCTTGTGAATAGTCGAAACTACTCAAACTCGAGAACTGAAATTGAATAAACTGAATTATGAGAGTTTAGCGATATTCTCAACTTCCACGCGATATTATCTACTTTTAAAAACGACCTGAACGAGCGAAATGCGTTTTCGCGAGGTTAGGATACGCTTATAATTATTGCACAACCCGGTGAATCATTAGAACAAATTCGAAGAAGCACCGCGCGAACGACTCGCGGCGTGTTCTAGCGAATTCGTCGATTTCCTGCGGCTATGTAGGCTCCCCGCTTCTTATACCCCACATATTCGTTTCTAATGATCGTGAAAAATCGATAGCACATAAATTCGTAAGGCAAGGCTAACCGCGCCGCTCGATACGACGACTCGGTCGAGACAAAGAATTGCCACCCACACCCGGCACGAATTATGTAGCGCCTAAACGAAAGAGGAAATCGCCCTGTCGTGTCGACTCGACGACAGGCGCGGGACTCTCTCTCTTTTCGTTCTATTCTAACGCGTCCTCAACTATTGCGCATACCTCGAGTCGAGACACGAGATGCGTCTGGTGTCATGACATGTAAATAGCAACGGGGCGAACCAACATCGATCAAAAAGAGAGAAAGAGGGAGGGAGAGAGAGTTATTCCTCGCCAAAACGGCGTTTCCGCCTGAACAGATCGTAATTAGGTCGCAGTAGATCGACCGATCGTCAATGGGTAAGAAAGACTGAGTTCTAATTTCGACGGCGATAAGAAGCCATCCTATTTCTACCCGCGCTATTCGATCGGCCCGGGCATGCTAGCAGTTCCGTTTGAGGATTGGCAGCGGAGGCTATTTCCTGTAAACACACAGTTCACGACCGTCTCCGTCCCATACGCGGTATATGCATGAGAGAGATTCGCCGAATCGTTTTGCGCAAGACGCGGTCGATCGTCAGGCGCGAGCCGCGCGTGTGCATTAAATGAAAATTAATCTCTCACGCAAAATAATCAGCGAATTACAGCGATGACGCGGCCACGAAACTGCGCTCCACCGCTACTTAAAGATCCGAACTCCGAGGACCGGTTGTTCCAAAACTTCTTGGTAAGTCAATTGAAATTCAATTAAATCATATCTGTCTTTGTGTTTTTCTCTCAACTTAGACAATGACAGACGTATGATTCAACTATCAGTTACCTATCCAGGGATTGGAACAACCGGCCCTCGTTGCGCAAATCTCGCTCGTAATCGAAGTCCTCTCGACGCCGATTGTCATCGATTGTTGCCGTTGTTTGCGAATGTTCGCTCGAAGGGATTCTCGCGTGATCGCGGCATTTGGCAAACGATCGCGAACTCATCATAATTTATCGTACACGACGCCTGAAGGGTTGCAAGCAGACTGTGTGTGACGGGTTTCTTTTCATTCGCAACAACGCAATGTCTATACGCGGTGTAGGACGCATAACGCGAAGCGTGTCGGTAATATGACGGGCTCTCCGCGTACACTGCTCCGCCTCCTGGAAAATTTATTAACCGGCGATCGTGCACGCCATCCGCGTATTCAAGACGATATGAAATATTAAGCCGGCCCCTTGCACGTAACTATTACCGAACGGCGCGCATCGATACGTCAAGTCGTGCCCGAGTCGGACTAGAATAGGTGTCCCTGGATACATGTATTAGACGCTTGCAGAGGCTCTTCTATTAGCCTTGTTTCTCCGATAGGTAGAGTAATAAAGCACACGCCACGTTCAATCGTCATCCGCGCTGTGCAAGAAGATCGGTCGAAGTCATGTCAAACAAAGATTCAATTTCGGGATTATGTAAAGTTCTGACGCCGACATTTTAAACTCCCGTGATGCGGCGAAATGCTTGGTCTAGCTTCCGGGTTAGTGGCACGTTTCATGAATTTGAACAAGTCCAGACCTAAAACAAGATCAGACCTACCTGAAGCCAGAGCAAACGCAACAAATTTTCATGTTTTCGTTTACTTTGATCCCGATGTTGATTTTGACTTTATCTCTCTGAGTAATCCTGAAAAATTCGGTCTCGTTCAGCTGATCTTCTGCTCGGTATATCTTTTTCTGCCACCGTTCAAGCACTTATCTTCTGATTATGAGTAAACCCACATGCAAACTTCTGCAAGCTCTTAAAAGAAAAGTAGAACTACTCGTTTATTATTTCTCAGAAAACTGAATTTCGTGTCTAAGTGCATAAGCCTGACATTAACTAGGAACGATGATCTCTCTCCACAGATCTCGACTATAAGCCCTCCAATATCAGGATATGGATACACAACAGAGACATTGGAAAACTGCAACACGTACTGTGGGAAGGACACGGGGCGAAATTGCGATGCGAGACCAGCAACAATACCCGGGTCAAAAAATTCTTGGAGGCCGTGCCCTTCATCATGGTATGTCGGCGGAATCGAATTTTTCTCCGCATATAAGCATCTACTCGAATTTACGGTTCGCTTGAATTCTTACGAAATCGAGTGTATTAATGTAAAACAACAACAAGATGATAATTATAGACGAGTCACTTGCTCCGATATTCTTAGAACTCTTTGCACTCGTCGATTTCTTTTACCTCTTTTTTTATCTTATAGTTTCTCTCTTCATTTCTGTCTTTTTCATCCCCAATCAATTTTTCCTTCTTTTGCAAATATTGTATCTATTGTGTCATCTTTTATTCACACGCAGTCTATTTCGGATTATTCCCGTGAACGAAGAATAAATAAATAAATTACTGAGTAAAAGCGCTGTGTGCGATTTTTTCAGGGCACGATAAAGGATATTCACACGGCGACCATTAACAACGACTTAGATGGCCTCAAGAAGAAACTGGAAGAACCCGTTTCGCCCGTCATCCTGGGGGGCAAGGATAGCAACGGATTAAACGCCTTGCATAAGGTAGGAGCTTTCGAGTTGCACGATATAAAGTGTGATTCGAAACTGTATCGCGAAGTAAAATACGACTGGGTTTATCTCTGATCTTTCCCGCAACAAGGCCGCCGGTTTAGGACACTTGGACATCGCGCGCGAGATCCTCGAGAGGTACCCTGCGGCAGTGGCGGCCCAGGACAACGAAGGCAAGACTCCACTGCATTACGCGGCTGCGCTTAAAGACGACGGCGCTATGTACGATCTCCTGACGGAGTACGGAGCCGACGAGAGCAAACTGGACAATGTGAGTAAACATCCGCATTATCCTGTCTATGCAAAAGTATTGCTCAATCCAAACTCGATCATGGTGGTTAACGTTTCACGTGTCTCGCCGTAAATCAGAGGCAAAAGGCGCCCGCGTTCTATAAAAACCGGCCCTCGGACGTGGACGTGACGAATCTGTCGGTGATACCGGACGCACCTCGCGTTTCCGGCAACACTTATCCGAAAAATTGGGACTGGAAGATCCTGGAGGCGAACCAAGTACTCAGCCGCGGAATGAAGAAGATGATCAGCAGGAGCGACATCGATAGCGCTTTCGGTAGCGCCGAGTCCACCACCAAGGATTCGGATGCCTCGAGTGAGGTACTTTTCCTTCTCATTACTTCGAACTTAGACACTTGTCAAAATTCGATTAGGTTAATTGTTATCCTAAGTGTTATTATTATATGTCTATGTGCATAATTTTGTACACTGAAATCACTGCTCAATAATTGTTTAGTGTAGAGTGTGGGGATTTACTTGATTAAAATTTTCTTTGATTAAAATAATAAGCAAGACAATAATCAGAATGAATCAACGTCATATATAAGATTACAAATAACTTCATCGATTAGTAAAATTAATTATTAGTCAGATGCGATTGATTGTACACTGATTAACAATAAATTTCGTCAATCGATTATATTATTCGTGATTACATATACGACGATCAGTTAATTTTGATAGTTGGTTTGCCGATTATTTTAACCAAAGACAATTTTAATCGATTAATGCTCAATACTGGTGTACCAACACTGAATGTGTCATCCTGGAGACGTGTAGATAGTGTCTCGATGTGAACACGTGAAATCTCAGTTCACGATCTCAGATTCCCTAAGGATCATACGTGGGATTTCATGGAACAGGTGAAAAAAGCGGACGACGAACAGCAGGAGGAGGAGGAAGCTGAGACTCCGAATGGAGATGTAGAGGAGGAGAAAGCTGAGACTCCGAACGGAGGTGTAGAGGAGGAGGAAGCTGAGACTCCGAACGAAGGTGTAGAGGAGGAGGAGGAGGCGCAGAATGAAGAAGATAATGAGGCTAACGGTGAGGAGGCTGACGGTGAGGAAAAGCAAGAGGAGGAGCAGGAACAGGAGCAGGAGGAGGAAGAGGAGGCCCCAAACGATGAAGAAGCGAACGAGGAGGAGAAGCAGGAAGAGGAGGAGGAGGAGGAACCGAAAGCAGACGATTCCGAGGAGAAGGCATCCTCGGACGATGACGTGGTGACCGGTCCGGTCGCGGAGAGAGATGAAGAGGATGACGGCGAGGAATCCCCGAAGAACGAGGAAAAGAACGAAGAGGAGCGAAACGATCCTAGCACCGGTGACTCCGGCGTCGACGATCCTGCGCAGGACGAGGAGCAGGTATGATCCCGATCGTGTTATCCGCTACGATCGTCACGACGTCGCGCTGCATCTTGTCCGGCAAGAAGGGAAAGCAATTCGACACTTGATCGCTCTTCCATTTTAATTAAATTTTATTTATTCAATACACTCGGCTATTTAAATTTTCCTCCGGCTTCAGCTGCTATATATTCCGATCGAGCATCGCGCATGATTGAAGGCCGGACTATCGACGCAAGCGTCGCACAGCCGGGAATCTCTCGATCTCCGTTTCCCCCGCCGCTAGATGATTAGACACAAAATGACAGAATTATTGTATTATGCACTGTGTAATGACAATTACATACAATAATAATACACTTTGAACGAAGAAACAACTCGCCGTCTTTATCTATTTCGACAAAACGACGCTGAGATTCTTTGCGATTCATCGCCAGAGGTGGAAATTAATTCATAGAGGGGGATAACGTGCCGTTATCGACGGACCTTTCCTTTACGCGGATACCACTTATGAGTGTACATCATACACGATGTACAGGCGCGGCATGAGACGATCGATGCGCGTGTAGAATTCCCAGGCGCGATTAATATCTGCTATCGATCGCTACGTGCCGCTCACTCCTGTGCGCATGATTTTGTATCTAGACATGACAGCAGGTCATCGGAGAGCACGAGGAGTCCGCCGAGGTCGAACTCGACGACAGTGGTATGGCCCGTGATCCGGAAGTAGACAACTTGGTGGCGAACGGCAACATGGAACAACTGGCGAGTCTGGTCCTCAATGGCGAAGGCCGGCGATTAGTGGGACGACAGTCCGGAAATCCGGAACTCCAGGCGTTCATCGACAATGTACCAGCCTACATGGTATGTGCGTTGGTGTCGTGCCATCACATATATATAATATTAGCCAAGACTTATATGTGCTTGTGTGTATGTGTGTGTACGTACGTATATAATATTATGTGTAAAAGTGTCTCAATCTTCAAGCTGAGATAATTCTATTCGCAATACTATAATTTCCTAAGAAATTAAAAAGAGTAAAGGGTTGATTTTAATTTATTCATGTTACTTACAAAAGTCTCGAAAAATTGTGGCTAATGATGATGACGTTTGATATGTTAAACAAAAACAATACTGAAGCTTTTTTCGCGTTAAAGAATTCTTGTGGGAATTCTTGTAGAATTCTTGCGTTGACAACCCTCGTGATTTGAGATTTATAAAATCTTTTATGCAAAAAATTATAATCTCATTCTAAACTCTCTTATCTATAGTCTCAAGAAAATTCTTCTGAAACCAAAAAAGATATTCTAAGCATAATAATATTTCTCTTTTTCAAACATATTCCATAAACATTTTCATTTGGAATATAGAATTATAGGAAACAGCACTTTACAATTAGAGTTCTTTTTCTTGGACGTTAAAATATTTTCATTTGATTTCAGAAGTCCACTTGAAGCCGTAACATAAGATTGCGCCAAAGATGAGATTATATTTCGTTAGGTGTAGAATAATCATTGATCTTGTATAAATATACATTTATAGATTTAAGGAATACATAAAATAATATGTCTTTTACCCAGGGAAAAATTCACGCGGTGCACATGGCTGCGCGAGAAGGGAACCTTCGGGATCTGCAGAGCGCCCTGGATCGTCGCAAATTCGCGGTGGCGCGGGACGAATCGTCACCCCACGGTGCGACACCGTTGCACGTGGCTGTCGTGTTCGGCAATACCGCTGTCATCAGGTATTTACAGTGTATTTTGATACTTCGTTTTTAATACCACACTTATACTCACCCCTTTTCTGTGGTCGACGAAGGATTCTTATATTCTTTCAAGACCGATAAGACGCTCGGGGGCTCGAAAATCGATCAATTGTTTCGTACATCCGCAGGAAAGGAAGTCCGGTCAATAAAGCTGACTGCATATATACATATATATACATATATATACATGTATATATATATATATATATATATATATGTTTAACTATTACGAGCTGCGATCACGGTAGCTATTGGTTCATAATTTATACCGATCACGCGGTGATAGACCTTCCTTACGAATGACAGGTTGTAAGGCTGCACTATCAAGCTCACGTCTCAAGCCATTGAATATTTTATTACTCGATTTAGGTACCTGGCAGGAAGGTTTCCAGAAACCGCTCAGGCCATCGATCTGGACGGACGCACTCCGTTGCATTACGCCGCGACGCTCGCTGACAACGGTCATTACTACAACCTCCTGCTTCATTTGGGCGCCAACCCTCTAATGCAAGATAACGTAAGTGCTACGTATCGGCATGTTTCGCTACGATATTTGCCTCGAAATAGCCTTTAAACCGAAAACTGACCTGAAAGCTTGACGTCTTTATCCAAATAATACGGGAGGAAACTTAAATTTTTCTTTGTTTTTCTTTTTTCGTATCAACGATGGAAAATGTCATGAATCGATTAAAACTTCAACGCGAGTCTAAGAAGTCGCGGATTCTCGACGCGAGAGTCGAGCGCGCGAGTGCTGAAGCGCTCGACTCTCGACGGAATTTCCGTCGATCGCGAAATTTCTCTGAACGAGCTGAGCGTCTACGAGGTGTATTGTGTCTTTTGTCACGTAGTTCGGACATAAGGCGGATTATTACAAGCAAAATCAAAGAGACCTATCGCACAAAAAGATCCTGCGCGATTTCGGGGCCAGCGAGAGGCTCGCCGACGAAATGCTGACGGACAAAGGTATTTCTTGATTTGAGGCATTCTTTTGAGCACCATCGGCAAACATGAGAACAGTTCGACGAGGAATCGTCGTCCTCCGGACACTTGATCCCCGCGATCCTCCGTGTTACACTCTCTTCGTGTTGTATTGTGATCGAGGACAATTCTTAATTACGATAAGTCGAGAGTCCCCGTGAAAAATCATCAACAACGTCGCACAAGACTCGACACTAACGTCTCCTCTTTGTGTCTCCTCGCGATTTTTGGTGAAATACACTATTTCTATTGTCCGTACTATGTATCCCCGTTCCGCACACGATACCTTATTAATGCAATTATTTTGTGATATCCAGTTCCCTTCGGGATCGATTTAGACAAGGTCGTCCCCCAAACGCGTAAGAATCCCAGTGATTTGATCGAGATACTCGTTGAGCGCACCCACCTACACACAAGTGTTGATCCCTTTTGACTTTCTCGTTTTGTGAATTGATTTTGCTTCGCTCGATTACTCTGACAAGTGACACAGCACATAAAGGAATCCACGCTCGACCATATAAAATACTAAAGAAAAACGTCGAAAGAGAAGTAGAATAAAGTCCCTCTTATGCCCATGACACACTTCCCCCTTAAGCGGCCTGATTCTCGGCACTCACGCTTCGATAAATCCACCACTAATGCCACCGCGAACTCTTTGCTCACCCTCCATCCCTCAACACCTCCCAACGACACGGATGGTAACTCGGCTGTTCTGTTGCCACCGCCGCCGTTGCTGCCGACCCGGACGAGACCGGAACAGTACCCGGAGGTGACGTCTACTCCGCTCGGCGGGACGTAAGCGAGCCGGAGACATTGGCCACTCTGGAACGGTGTTTCCGATTGCTGGCGGGTAACCGCCGGTCGTCCGCACCGAAGACAGCGTCGAACGCCGGTACATTAGTTGGCCGTTGCCTGAAGCGACCGGTTTTCGATCTAATCAAGCACCGTGTGACTCGCATGGACCACAATCTCTTTGACGTGATCTGGCCGGCGATGAAAAGGTACGGTACGGTCACGGCCAGCGGCAATAAGAACAGCAGCGCGCATTCAACCATCAGCTACTACGACGAGGACCACGGCTACGGCGTGGTGGCGCCCGACTTCGAGAGTTACGTCGTCTTCACTGAGTTCTTCGACCCCTTCATCCGCGAGTTGCATTGCGTCACGGCGAGCGGCGACCTGCCCGACCATCCACCGCCGCGTTTCTTCAACAACGACGACGAAGGGGACGAGGAGCCGCTGCCAGACGAGGCGACGCTCGCCTCGATCGAGCAGCACGACCTCGACCCACTCTGCAAGTTCATCCAGGCCGGTGTCATCGAGTGCACGCGAAACCTCGACAACTACGCGCTACCTTTGACTTTGACGGTCAATCAGCTGGAGGAGGTCGAACGGGAGATCACGAATCAGCTAATGAGCCCGGAGATCACTGCCATGATGGCGGAGGGTAGTAGCGAGGACGAAGCCGGCACGTACTTCACCCTCAACGAGATCCTGGAGCAACCCAGTCGTATACGAGCGCAGCTGGCGGCGGCTGGTCTGCTCTTGCCGATCACCGAGTACGACGTGAACGACGATCGACATCTTCACGGCAAACACTGGCCTTACGGACGTGGCGTTTACGTCACTACCGTCGGCGACCTCGCCGCGTGGGTCAACATTCAGGACCATCTGCGCATCGTCTGCCGCACCAACGAGAACCGACCAGGCCTGGTGGGTCGCGCCTACGTCAGGATGGCCAGGCTGATGATGATACTCGATCAGAAGTTGAGATTCAAGCGCGATCAGAAGCTGGGTTTCTTAAGCGCGCGTCCTCAAACCCTCGGAAACACCTTGAGGTTTTGCCTGGTCGCCAAATTCCCGGAACTCTCGAAGACACCCGACAATCTACGACACCTCTGCGTGGTGCGCGGTCTCAGCGTGCGCAACACCGCCAAGAGCGACATGGTGAAGATCAGCAATCAACAGTCGCTCGCCATCACAGAGCTGCAGACTCTGCAGGACTTCTCCAGAGCGGTTCACAATATCATCTCGCTGGAGAAGGAACTGTCGTTGAACAACTCGATGAAGATCGCCACCCTTATCGCCGGCATGTTCCGCAAACGGGCCAATGCCTCGAGGGGCCAACGTCTCCAGACATAAATGAGACACGGGTCGACGGTCACAAAAGAGACAATAACATTAAATTCTAAGCTCTTGAAGACGATTCGGGAAATCATTCGTCCGCTCATCACTTCGTGGAAAAGTCGTCCGCAGCGTATCTACAGTAATTAACACATGGAGAGCTCGTTAACGTCGAAGAGTCGTTGGTTTTTTTGGGGAAATTTTACATGACGACGATTCCACAGCGAGAAGCGATTTATGCATCGTTCGTGGAAGAGACTCGAATTCGTAGTTCGAATCGAGTTCCTTATCAGTCAAGCAACCTGACGAGAAGATACTCGACTCTTATTAAGATTCAACTTGACTCATCTAGATCGTATTTCGTATATATACACATCCACACACACATACATCGATCGTCGATCGCCTTCGAGAGCCTCCGTTCTCTTTCCCTTCTGTCAATGTCTTTCTACGAGAACTAAACGTTACGCTTATTTGTGGAAATCTTCTGTGATAATTATCAGCCAACGTTTGACCGTCAATTACTCCTCACAGACTGAACTTTTTTTAGACATTTTCTTAGGATGTAGCGTGCGAGAGAGAGAGAGAGAGAGAGAGAGAGAGAGAGAGGGGGAGGAAGAGAAAGAAATGCGTTGGAAAGACGTGTGAACGTTATTTTGTTTTCTCTCGTGCACCGTCTCTCAATTGCGAAATTGCGCGATATAAGTAATTAGCCGCGGCTCTATTAATCGGATTATCCGGTGGTGAGAACGCAGGATTACCGATTAGGTTAGTAAACGATTATAGCATTATTTACCAATATATACCTATATATACGACACATCATTGTCGCACAACATCCCACTACAATTGCATCATAAGTCTTTGTTCTAGAGGTAATTCGACGAATCGCAAAACGTACTGAAAAGAAAAGAGAAAGGTAGAAAAACATTTGTCGACTGAAAGGGAGAAAAACATTCATTTACTTTCTTTACATGAATTCACCGCCGCGTAAAATGCACAACTAGATAAGTGGCTGTAAATAAAAGATAGCTGTAAATAAAAAATCCAGATTCTGTACTTTTTTATAATTTTTTTTTTAAATCGGGAGAACCTTCTGTTCTAGTTTTCACACATAGACACATACACATATATCGATCCTCGCGTTTATTCTAAACGCTGCCGCTTTCATGTAAAGTCGACGACGCAAAAATTCTCGATGCGATATTAATGGCACAACAAGCTTCAAATTATCAGAGTCATATTTCAGGGGCTTCCTCTATATGTAATGCACGAATCGATGTTCACACAAAACAAAAATGACGAAGCACATGTCTTTCCAACTCCGTGTTATTCGTGCTAAAGCGAAATTACGTGGCCAATCTTTTACCCTTATTACGCGCGTACCGCAATGTGATATCGTTATATTTATCAAAAGACCAGCCAATGGGCGTTTAAGTGTTGAACCGTATTTCTCAAGACATACACGTAAATACTACATGCATATATGTGCAAATTCGTGCATGCAAGTCACGATATTTTTGTAAGACGACAATTTTATTTTGCTTCGTGCGACAATACAATATATCGTAACGTTCGAGCTAGTTAGTTGCACGAACAGAAATAAACAGAACTTGCGATTGACCGTGAAAAAAAAGACGAACTATTCTCTTCAGAATGCGACAAAAAAATTGACATTTAAACGTCTATTGACTAACGAACGGCAATAATTATTCATCGTTGTTACATAAGTAATCACTAATGCACTCTTCTTTCCGTGTTACTACATATTAATTCGTGTTGCGTAACAGTGCTTGTGTGTGTGTGTGTGTGTGTGCGCGCCTGCTTCTGCATTTTGAATTTATGCCTGCATATAAAAAGTGATTGATTGCATACTATTCCGTCACGTTTTGCCGAATGGTTGTGCTGCACAGTGTTTCATCTTTCACAGAACTGAGAATCGTAATTGCATCATCGCGATAAATTACAAAGTGCGTACTAAGCAAAGAAGGCAGGAAGGATCAAAAGAGTTTAACTCCTCGCGCGATTTAACGATCCGAATGATATCTGCTTCTGAAGTTTATCAGCGCCGCGCGAGGATGCAATAATCGATTTCGGTGGTGACTTGAACCCATTCGCGAATATGAAAACTCTCGAAGACGCGCATGCTACTTTATGAAACTTCGCTGTTTGTAACCCATTAAAGGCTGTAATTAGTCCCGAGACTACATTCCACGTTTACCGACACTCGTCGACATGGCACGTTGCGCAAATACAATTATACGTGGGAATAACTGCGTAATGACACATGCCATGCCGGCAAATGTCGGCAAGCGTGCGGAATGTAGTCCTCGAAACATTCTTAGTCAGTGGATCGATTCATTTTTTTCCCGGAGATCCCAAATTAGCATTAGAACTATTGTTATCGAAGGTACAAATACACCTTGATACCATTGTATGTCTTGTATTTGTTCAATACAGGTGACAGACAGAGAGAGAGAGAGAGAGAGAGAGAGAGAAAATTTCTATCTGAACTATTTCTAAAATTTCACGCAAAAAAATTTCTCTGTGGCGCCCATCCAGATTAATAATTGGTAACAAGACCTAAATTTACCGGCATATATCGCTAGAATGTTGCTGCTGTAAATTTTATGCACCACAGATAATTTTTTAGCAGATACAAAGACAGCGATAAATTTTAACTGCAATATTCAGAGTTCTATTTAGATCAGCATAACATTTCCTTCAGTATATACATACAACTTAGAATTAAACGCTAAAAACATAACAAGAAAATTATACAATAATAATAATAATCGAGTAATTTTATCCGATAAAAAAACCGTCTCATAAGTAAAACTGGCCGCTAATGGGTTATCCGACTGAACAAAAATTCAATTCTTGATTATTTTAAAGTAGCAAGCGCGACAGTAAGCGCGTTCTCCCTGATTATTCAGCGGCACTCTGATCGATTTATTTTACAGATGACAGCGAAGTTGACATACCGATATTTCGCTCGGAAGAAGGTCGCTATTTGGCGTCGTGTAAGTAACGACGTAGCCGAGTTCATTTTCCTTATAATCCCTAAAGAAGTCACTGTAACTAAAGCATTGCATCGCGCACTTTGCAGCACTGGGCGATCCCTTGATCAAAGGACTAACGGAAGTCGCTAACGCACGGCCGAAGGATCCAGTCACGTATCTCGCGACATACTTGTACAACTTTGCCAGTAAAAATAAAACGAACGAACAGGTAATACGCTGTACTCGAGTAGCTCGAATATGCGCGGAATCCACGCTAATTTCTCTAACTCCAATTTCAGGAATCCGACGTTCTCATTATACCCGATCGTGAAGAGGAGAACTTGGAAAATCTCGAGAACAATTTCGACGAGGACGCCGGTTACCCGCAGAGTCCGGATTCGGACGTACCCGAGTCCACGTTTAGCAATCCTAATCGGGTACATAAAATATCATGACCAAGGATAAAAACTCTGAAGATAAACGATCAGAGTAGGATTACTCTGAGTGTATTTAGCTATACACTGAGAAAAAACGTGAAAATGTTTATTTATGAGATATAAAATTTATTTCCGCAAAACATCTTTTTGCGAAATGAAGTTCATTTCTATAAATAAACTTTATATCTCGTAAATATAAATGTTCAAGTATTTTTGCTCAGTGTAATAAGAGCTATAATTACGTGCGATTTTTACCACAAATCTTTCTTAAATATCACGACTTTTGCAAAACGAGATTCTCTTAAGTTACTATTAATTTTTCGTTCGATTTCCGCGGCGAGAGAAGAATCGTTTAGCGCGTGTAAATTAAAGAAAAAAGAACAAAAACGATGCATTCTTCAGGACGAACATGGGCAAAGCATGATCCACTTCGCGGCTGTTCGCTCTTACTCAAAGGACGGCTTGTACCACCTGCTGCTGGAGACGCAGGTAAACGTCGGTTTCAGGGATGAACTATATCGAACCGCCAGAGACGTCGCCGAACAGGCGAATATTCGGGAGAACGTCGACGAGATCGATCGTTACGTGGTTTATTTAGCGGCCAGAGGTAAATAGAACGACGTATTCTCAGTAAACGCGCACTCGCGCGGAAACCTTGAGACGAAGGTCGATACGATTTTTTTTCGATTTAACACGCAGGCGAAACGGAAAAATTAGTCGAGCTCTTATTGGAGGGTTACGATCACATCTTGGATGCCGAGGACGACGGGGTGAACATCGTAGACATCGCCGCGGAAAGGGGCCACGAAGCTACCGTGCAATTTCTGCAATCGATCCCTAATTACGCGGTAAGACAGCACAAGCGACGTAACAGTTAGATCGATAGTTTCCCGCCAGTGAAGAAATTTGTCTCGATCTTCCGTCGTTGGTCGTAAATCGACCATTCTTCACAATAAAGGTTCACACAAATGTCATCGAAACGTTAACAAGAGATCGTAGAGAACAGCAATTCTTTTGTTGATGTTCATCTTATTTCCATCTTACTTTCACTTGGAAGGAAATAAGATGAACATTAACAAAAATTTTGTTGATGTTTATTTTATTTCCTTTCAAGTGAGCTAAAAAATAAATTTAATTTCAAAATTAACAATTTTAACTTTGAGATTAAATTTTGATATTGAAAATCGAGCCAAGCTTCTCGACTAAATCAATATGAAAAGTGATTATTCCGTGATTTATTATGTGATTCTGAATTCGATTATTTGCAACGCTACGATGTTCGGCAGAATCAACGTGAAGAGGTGCACGCCGCGATCCGCGCGAGCGACGAGGATCGCGTGAAGGAGCTACTGCATAAGAACAACGGGGGTGGGAAGTTACTGGCCGTTGGGAAGAACTCGATTGGCCGTTGCGCCCTGCATATCGCCGTGCTCCGAGAGCAGGAAGACCTCGTTAAATTCATCGCGAGAACGTATCCGGAAACGTTGCGCATCGGAGATAACGTATGTCGCTTCCGCTGATTATATACAATGTGTGTGACTCAGTAAAATAATTATAACTGCAGCGAAGATATTCGATAAAAAGATAATAAATAACCAATAACTATGAATGATAATTTATATAATTAAGGCTTTCGCGGAGTCCATGAATATATTAAGTTTGGTTTCCGGGTTAAGTCATGTGGATTCTTCCGACGTTTCGCGAACATTTCAGTCTGCTTCATTAGGAAGGAATGACACGATGATTATAATTTTGGATTTCAGTTGGAGAGGACAGCTCTTCATTACGCAATGGGAGTGCCGTCCGTGGAAGTTTTAAGCAACGTGCTGATCAAGGCAGGCGCAAAACGTATCGTTAAAGATCTAGTAAGACGCAGATGCTATAAGAAACTAACCATCGCTGCTCGTGGCAGAGAAGGCTAATTGGTTCTTCCCTTCCAGAAATCCCGGCAGCCTTCGTATTACTTCATGAATAAATCTGACATCGAGAGACTTCAGGAAGAGGAGAAATCCATGACCACATGAGATCATACGATATCGATATTCGCACCGATTTTGCAGATACACAATCACACTTCAATATACTCAAACGTTCCATCAAGATGTTGCGAAACAGGGTCGGCGAGGCAGCGATAAGCTGAAAGAATTAATAAAGTTTGGGGATCGGAAAGAAAACTCGACTTTTTATCTGTTTGACAATCAGTCTTTCTCAAAACCGAGTGAAATAAAATATTTGAGTTTAGAACAATGTTATGAACTTGAGGATTTTAACAGAAGCAAAGAAATCTTGGTATTTTCTTGTTTTTTTACGACTAATTCGACTTGTACATCAAAGCTTAAATGCGCTTTCGGCGACCCTATTGAGTTACTCAAACGTTAGCTCGACGAATCATCAAAAACATATAGATTCATAACATGTTTGAATTAATGTGGAGACAATTTAGTGCCTTACAAATAAATGTAACGAGACTGCAACACAGTGTTGTCATTTCACCAAACCATATGAAAAAATGCAGTTATGCACCGAGCAAAAGAATGAAAGATCGCGAGTGGCTCGAAGGATTCAACGGCGGCGGTATCGTCTGAGACGCGAAGTGTCGAAGATCGAAGCAACATGTGCAGGGAGAAATTTTTGAAAGGAAAAAATTCAGAAGAAGTTTTCGTTATTTTAATTTGTTCATTCTGCTGCTCTATTATAATTTAAGTCAATGCTTAACAATCCTTAATTAACTTGTGCTTGTTTGACATATCACCTAAGGTAAATTGAGATCGAAAAAAGTTTTAATGCTCCAATACGAAACTCTTAGCGTTGGTCTCGGTGGCATTGTTTTGCCGCGTGATCATAAAGTACTCCTCGGTGATCTCCTCAGGCTGGATCTTGTTAAAATACGTCTCCCGTTCCTTATGTACGTAGCGCGTATCGTCAAAGTTAAAATGCAATCCAAGAACTATATTTAATGCAGAAGTGTCGTACGCGTGACAGCCGGAGTACCGGTACTGTGGCTTTTTATTGAATCTACAGCCCGCCGATTGCGCACCTATGGATCATTCAGTAAGAAGCTTATAAACGTCTGGGTGTCACGTGTTCAGATAAAACGGTTAATATCAATTCGTATATGTAATACACAAAGTAACTGCGAGATGACAATGAATATCAAACGTATTATGATGTGTAATCAGAGTAATTTACTGTAATCGGTAATGAGTAAAGTTACTGTAATCAGAGAGTACCTACCGATAGGAGAGATGCAATCCCTCGTCAGCGCACACTGGACCCAAGGTAGCATCACTCTCTCCCTAATGTCTTTAATATTGCTAATCACTATGTGCGACGCTCTAATCAGTGGGAGAAAGAAGAAACTCTCAACGGAGGCATGAAAGTACTCGTACATCTTTGGATGTGTTAGGGAACTAATGGCGTGCCTCGTAGGCCAAGTCAGGATTCCAGACTTTGGAGAGAGATACTTGGAAATGTCTGACGAGTTTAGACGCACATTCGAATCCATATAGATTATGTTACCTAGCGTATTTAAAGCTGTCTACGATAGAAAAGTATTATCACGTGATCAGTAATGGTGTAACCTTTGTGAAAGATCATGAAAACATATACATTGCCTGCTCTTGTTCGCTGCACTCCCTGCTAGTTTACATTAGTTGTCCTCTCCTCTTATTTCCTATCCTCAATCGAGTCACAATTGTATACCTGTTTCAAGTTCCGTAAGTGTGCACTGGTAGCAGCGAACAAAAGCAGACCTGTACTTGTGTAATGGATTACTCACTTGTATAACTAGAGGTCTATAAACATGCAGCGTGTCGTCTTCGACGTGAGCAGGAAATGGGCTTAGATCAAAGTGAATCACATTACATCTCGTAGAATTACAAGCGACTCTAATACTTTGTAAGGAATCTTCATTTAAACCGACACTATAAATCACAATACTATTATTTGGCAAAAAGTGGCTGACGTTCCTAACGAAGCCGTAAATATATTGCTCGTTTCCAGGCCTTACGAGCGACACAACCGTCACATTCTGAGGCTTAAGACTGACTGGCGTCGTGCTGGTCTGTCCATCCAGACCAAGCAACGCGAGGTACTTGGAATCTGTCACCAGACGCTTCTCCTCAACATCTTTTAAATTCTCCTTGAAACAATTAATTCAACATGATGCAAATAACGCTAGAGAAGAAAAGGGAGAGGAAAGGAGAAAGAAAAAGAGAGAAGAAGAGAGAGAGAAAAGGGAGAGAGAGGAAAGGGAGAGAAAAGGTAGAGAAAAAGAGAAAGAGATTGGTGGGTACTTATTTCTGCTTTCTACTTAATTACAAACGTTACCTACCTGGAAGCTCCGTAGCTGCTTGTGAGTTTCGGTCACTAAGGTCTGAATGGAAGGTCGTTGATTGCTGAAAGCAATGAAAACGATGCTGCTCCCTGCTATGCAAATCAGCAACAGTAGCAGACCCTTGGTACGCATCGCTCATCGTTTAACGTGATTTGGGGGGCAATCCGATACCGAGAATACCAACTACCTTACGTCAAGAACATGCCAGTTAGGTTAGACATTTGCGGCAGCGTCATAGTACGTCACGTTGTACATGAACGAACAGCGTGGAAACTCATAACGTACGCGCGGACGGTCAACGTGGATTATCAGCGGCTATGTTTACAAATTCGCCGAAGATTAGATTAAGGCCTTTGATAACGAACTGTTCCAGAGAACCCGACAAACACTCCTTCCATGAGAGTGTTCATTGTGTGTGCCTTCTGCGCAGCTATCGGCGACGATGACGTGCGATCGCAGCGCGCTCTGTCGAGAGCGGCACGCGACACCTCGACACTTGCGACTGCCGCGCTCTACCCGCGCAATTTAACAATCGTATTGTATTGTACAGATATTGTATAATTATGCCAGAGATACAAATGGGCAGAGTTGGGTGAGTTAACTTTTTTTTTAACTAAGTTAAGTTAAAGTTAATGGCATTGAAAATTTAACTTAGTTAAGATAAAGTTAACCCATAATGAAATTAATTAAATTAAAAGTTAAGTTAATAAAAAAAGTAATTAAAAAGTTAAAAGTTAAATTTGTTTCATTTCATGATTTCAGGGTTTCGGTTTTACAAATAACGGAAAAAACAAATATGCACCTTATTTGGGGAAACATGTTTTATTTACAGATACTTATTAAATTTAAGTAATAAAGTTTTTTCGAAATTTTTATCGGATATTTTTTCGCGAAGATTGTCGAAAATGAGCCCTCCTACACTGAACAGCCTTTTGACGTTTCGCGACACTTTATGGCATGGTTATTAACTTCCCTTATAGAAATATCATACTAAGAATCATTGATAATTACTTATTTTCAGTATTAAAAATACTGGATAATAAGTAATTATCAATGATTCTTAGTGATATTTCTATAAGGGTTCAAGATAATTGAATTAAAAGTTAATAGTTACTGATAAAATGTAACTAAGTTAAGTTAAAAGTTTATAAAAGAGTGTAATAATGTAACTAAGTTAAGCTATTTAACTTTTTAACTTAACTTTTAACTAGTTACTACCTAACTCTGCAAATGGAAATTCCTTTAACAAAAAATTTCTTTAGCTAGAACACTCAAGGTTCGCAAAGATCAAAGTCGTAAATCAAAATTGAAGTTCCTTATTTATCCGTGGTACTTAAAATCCGTAAAAAATTATTCTTACGCAAAAACGCAACCTTTGATACAACAAGAGTAAATTAAGAAGAATAATTACCAGGAACTATTTGAGACGCAGTGTCATTCATATTACAATACAACCATCACAATTGTTAAATGTTGTTTATACACATCGGCAATATCTCCGAATGACGTAGGAAAGTTGATATTAGATTTTATTCATATCCTTAGCTGCACGTTTATAATTCGCATTCGAATATTTTGCACGTCATCTGCTATATATTAAAATGACCCCAAACTTGCACTCATGAGACATTTAAGAAATCATTCAACATCAATTAATAGTAACATCCATAAATCAATGTTGTAATTACACAGTCAACAATATAATTATAATGTACAACATAGATTGTATTATATTTACATGGCTAAATGGGAAATTACAACGTTAATATAATCCCAAATAGTACAGAGAATTCAAAAAGAATTTAAAAAGAATTCAGTCGTATGTCACCAACTCTGAAGTCATTTTCAGATGCAAAAAGTATTTTTCAAAGTTCAGTTTAATAAAAAGAATTCTTTTTGCATTTAAAAATGAACTCAGAATTGACATACGACTGAATTCTTTTTGAATTCTCTGTGCTATCTGGGATACTTCCTTGATGTTCACTGACAAGCTCTTAATAGTGTCGTGACGTTTCTGTCGTAAACATAGTCTCATTCAACATTATTTTTACGAGAAACTCACATCACCTGTGATCCAGCGAAGTTTACTTTTTTACGTGTGTCCATGGCGTGTGTCCTTTTAAATGTCTCGTCCTGAATACGCGTGACGCGAAAATGCAAATTTCTTCACGTGCATTGGGCTGATTAATTCCGAGTTTTTATGACTTTAAATATGCATAACCAGTTTCTTTCTCTTGAGTAACGTCTATAAATGAAATCCTTGGCCGAACAATCTCAGTAGCATTCGATCCGGTACCTCGATTCAGTTTCTCCGTTGACAGTTAGTACGAAACAACAGAAACGATGGCACGGCTGATCGGCATCGTGGCGATCGTCGGAATCGCGTTGTTCATGTGCGTCTTCGCAGCGGAAGAGTTATATTCTAGCAAGTACGACGACATCGATATTCAGAACATCCTCACCAATGACAGATTGCGAAATCAACATCGCAAATGTTACATGGATCTAGGACCATGCACGACAAGCGATATGAGATTTTATAAAGGTATATATCTATACGCAAAGTAGCCCATTTCTGCTGTATTATTATTATTTCTAACAACAAATTCTCTCTCCCCAGACAGCACAAACTACTAAAAGATATCTCAAAGATATGTCCAAAAGACATCTTATTCTTTTGAAAGGATGTCTTTTGAAAGTAAGACATATTTCTGTAGTTTATGCTGGATCCTTCTTTTCTTTTTTTTTTCTCTTTTAAATTATACTTTTCTATTTTTTTCACACGTTTGATCTTCGCTTGATCTTTCATTATACTTATGTTTCACCTAATTCCAGAGCGCTAATAAACATTTCTGTCTCTCTTAATATTTCCTTTCCTTCTGTCACCATCGGCCTGACAAAAACTCTCATCTTGCTTTCAGATTTTATCGGCGAAGCTATCGTAACAAAATGTAAAAAATGTACTGAAAAGCAAAAGAAAAATCTGGAAATATTAACCGAATGGTATATAACAAATCAACCAAAACAATGGGAAGAGTTTGTTGCGAAAGTAATAAGTGACTTACGAAAGAAAAATGCTTAATGGTAATTATCAAAGAAACTAATAATGACTACGAAATAACAATGTCAATCTGTATCAATTAACGTCAAACGTATTATTTTCAGAGACGTGTTGTAATTGACCACTAATACACCTACGGATATTATACTGTTAAATGGATGCGTAAGAATAGAGTAGTATCTAATTTTATTGATGTCAGTTACGGTCGTGAATTCTTCCAATATAAACTACGTCGTTTATTGGCCATATTTTTATCTTACAAATGTATACACGCGCTGAAAAATAAGAGAAGATATTCCCCCGTATTCTTTTAATTTCTTTTTTAATTTATAATTATTTCACAAAGTTTAAATTACGTTCTTCTCACGGACGGTATTAGAACTCTTCGAGAGACAGCTGACAGTGCGCATCATCGAGTATAGAACTACTGAATCGTTAGAACTACTGAATTAGCATATTATTAGATTCTCTCAGAAAGGAAGCGAAGAGCGTGCCGTAATCAGCGCTCATGTATGACATTCCCACTGATGTTTTAAAAACCAAGATGGTCCACTTTCTCTTTCGTGGCATATGTAATCATAAAGATCGCAAAAGGTATATCATGATCTAATGAAGAATTCTTATCTAATATAAAAAAATATAATAAAACAGAAATGTCTGACAAAATTCTCGAAGTAAACTAAGCAGAATAATGTTTAAGATTAGACGCGCGGCACATTTTATGGGATACAAATCAATATTTTAAAGTTTCTCTATACTTCTTACGCCAATAAGATACATGAGATATATATATATATATATATATATATATATATATATATATATATATATATA